TTTGCCTTAGTAGTTAGATTAGATGCTATTAGGGTACTATTAGCATTTGCATGCTTCAAGGGATTCAAATTATATAAGATGGATGTAAAAAATATATATTTTTTAAAATGGTGTGGGTTAAAAAGATACTTATGTAGAACATCCCAAGATTTTGAAAACTTACCATTTCCAAATCATGAATACAAACTTAAGAAATTATTGTATGGGCTTAAGCAAGCACCTAGGATGTTAAACGATAGAGTTAGCAATTTTCTATTAGAAAAATCCTTTGTTAAGGGGACCATAAATACTACCCTATTTATTAAGATATTTAGAGATGATATTATTATTGTTAAGATTTACATGGATGATATTATTTTTTGTTCCACTAATGGTAATTTAAGCAAAGAATTTCTTCCACCATGAGTAGTGAATTTCAAATGAGTATGATGGATGAATTAACATATTTTCTTAGTTTTAATGTTAAGTAATGAGAGGATGAAACCTTCTTGAGTCAAACTAAGTACCTTAAGGAAATTTTGAAGAAATTTGATATGAAGGTTGCAAAAGTATGAATACACTAATCAGCCCAACTACCAAATTAAATAAGAAGAAGAACGATAAATCAATTGATAAGAAGAAATTTAGAGGGATTATAAGTTCCTTATTTTAAAGGATTGTTAGTAGGCATGATATTATTCTTAGGGGATGTTTAGTTGATTATAAAGTGAATAAGGTGTAAATTAAATAAAAATATAAAGTAAATACTTTGAATCTATTTGGTAGTTTGTAAAGTAAATGCAGGAGAACTATTTTTTCGTTTTGTTGGGTGTATGTTAAATAAAATTAGTATATTCTGAATAATGTTTACATCCATTAATAAAATGTTTTGTTCTATAAGAGGCCCTTTTGGATGAGACATTCAATCAAGCACCTGGCGTGCCTATTCCTAAACTGAATTTATTTTTCATATTGAAGTCTGCCAACTGATCATCAGCCGGTTTAATATTCGCAGAAAAATCAAAACACATAAGACTCAATTTGCGACTCTAGATTTTATGCACGAGGTAGTCTAACCAACTTGCGGCTCCAAGTTCCCGTATGGAGTGGCTAAATGAACCAGATCACAAACATTGCATTGCTCAAAAGTGGAAAGGCATAGCTCGGAGCAATGGGCTATAAAAATTCTTAAACCTCCGCACGATTGTTGGTCCCACCGACCGCAATCGAGCACGTCTGAGTTGTTATGTGTGTGTCATCCTCCAGGTCATGTAGCAACATCTCAGCATTCCTTATCAAATTCTCCCCCTCCCCCAAACAAGAAATGACATCAAAGGAGCTGATGAAGTGACTTGAGCAAAACTCTATCTCAAACAAAGAAATGATGTCGAAGGTGTGAAGTGAACATCATTGAAAGAGTGAAGTGAGCCAAAGAAGATACTTCAATAGAAGCCAACCTCACAAAAAGCACCAAAGTTTGAGTCACAGCGAAATAAAGAAGATGAAAAGCTTTTGTATAGGAAGAAATAATGATGTTCCCGCCGCAGAAGGAAGAAATAACGATGTTCCTATGAGCTTTTCTCTTTTTCGCTTGCATGATTTCCTTTATAAATCCTACCCTTGGATTTATATTATAATTTTTTCTTTAGCTTATAGCTATTAGATATAATTTTATTCATTATAAATCATTTATTGTTCAAATGTAATAAAAAGTATCCATTTCACTCTATGTCATTTACCTTATTGTATGTACTTTATTATTTCTTATGTTGTTAGTTACTTTCATTAGGGAACCCACATACACATACACCCCTTGCATAGTGAACCCTGAAGACATGAACATAAACTCTTAATCAAAAGTCTTCCTTAAGCATTGTGCTCATTATGTAATTAACTAGTGGAGCTATGCACATTAGAAACTAGAACCCTAGAATAAAAATAACCTTTAATTAATATCTTTCATTAGTAGGAGAAATCATATTCTACCATACATGTCAATATTCTTCGAACCCATGCTGAGGCATACTCTACCAGGGAGTATGGCCCCCTCTATTGATCCCACTCAAATGATATAGCTAGGTACGTGTGGCATAATCTTAACATTCATCGAGTCTCATCTCACACATGGACATAAGTCTCTTTTGATGCCGACATACTCAAATATATATCTTCTCTCTATAAACATCTCCTAATATTATAACATGTCTTTGTGAGAGACTTATATCCTAGACACTTTTTAAAAATCATTTTTCAAACTATCAATCAAGATATTTTCTCTCATCTCTTTTATAGAATAGTCCATATGAAAACCCTTTTATATCATATTTTCTTAAATCAAATAGCGATCAAAATGATCTCAAACTCAATTTTCATAGATACATTTTCTTATAACCAATATGTATCACATAAATCATTTCAATCATTTGCCCATAATATCATTAGCATATTTGAAATATTTACTTTTGGGCAATGATGTCAAAAAATAATACTTTATGCTTCAACTATATTGTGGTGATCTTCTTGCATATCATATAAAAAGACTCACAAAAAAAAACAAAGAAATCAACAATGGCTTAGGATGAAATATAAGACTTTTAATGGTAGAGCTAACATATTATTATTGTTGTGTCATGAAGTATTCGCGGTGGTAGAGAAATATAAAGTTTAACGTCTTAGCTTTGTACGAAGATCCATCACACAATCATATAAAGAGAGAGAGTGTATCTTTTATAGGAGACCAAATTTTTTAAGTGGAAACCCTTGAAAAGGGGGAAAACCACGGAGTCTAGCCCATTTTAAATGAATATACTAGTATTGTAGTTGATTACAAATGAAGCCTTTCATTGGGGGAAGGCCTTGGCTTAATGTAACAAATATGCATCATATAGAGTGTGTTATATGATAGAAATATGAAGAATCGCTATTGATGTGTTTGTTTGGTTAGAAGGACCATAGTCGGTGGGCGACGAAGGTCGGAAGGACCATTGTCTGGCGATGGAGGTCTGAAGGATGGCGTCGGATAGAAGTCTAATGATAGACAGAAGTCCAACATTAAATAAAAATTTGATGAATGTCAGGCGACTGGGAGAAGTCCGGCGTCATGAAGAAGTCCGATGTCTGGTATAAGTCCGATGTCCGACAGGAATTCAACGACGGGTGGAAGTCCATCATTGAGTAAGAATTTGGTGACTGGAAGAAGTCTGGTGACGGATAGAAATCTGGCGACAGGTCCAAGTCCGGTGCTGGGTAGAAGACTGTCAATGGACACAATTCTAGCGCAAGATAGAAGTCTGGCGAAAGTCTGATGATGTGTAGAAGTCTGACGTCGGGTAGAAATCCAACGATGAGTGGAGGTCCGACATCAGGTAGAAGTCCAACGTCAATCGGCGGCGGGGCAGAACTCCTGCGTTAGATGACATTCGGGCAGAACTCCGACGTCGGTAGGCTGTCGGGTGTAAGCACGGTGGCGGTCGAGGAGTCTCTTCCTTTTCTTCCTTGATTTCTTCTCTTCTTTGGTGTTGTTAGGTTCATATTTTCAAGATGTTCAGTTTGACTATAAGTTTGCTAAAATCGGAGTTCAGATGATCCCAGATTTAATTTTTAAAGATTCCAACTTGATTTTGCTTCGAGATTCATGCCTTGTCAAGATAATTTTTTGATGATATATCAATTATTATGTTTCGAGGGAGAGGTAGGTTTTGTTTGAGTTGTTTTTTTACTGTTTTGTAAAACTATTTTTTAGTAATTTTTTTTTAAAAACAAAAAGAAATAGTGGTCCAAAGCTGTCCCAAACAAAATCATAGTAAGATGTAGTTATATATATATAAAGGATGTTTTAATTGTTATAAGGGTACAAACGTGTCGAGTCGAGTCGAGCTCGAGCGAGTGGGTGTTCGAGTTGAGCTCGCATGCCAAATGCCGAGCTCGAACTCAAGTCGAGCTCAAAATTTGAGCTTGAGCTCGACTAGTCTCATGTCGAGGAGTTCGTTGAGCTCAGTTCTGAGCTCCATCACGATAGTCTCATCGTCGCGTCCGTTGCTGTACCAAGGTCCGTCGTCGTCGCGTCCACCGTCGAGATTGGTCGTCCCGAGCTCGCTCGTCGTCATCCCGAGGCTCCATCGTCGAGATCCATCATCCCAAGCTCGTCATCGCGTCTGACGTCAAGAATTGAGATCAGTCGTCTCAAGCTTGTTCGTCGTCATCCAGAGGCTCCGCTATCGAGATCCATCATCCTGAGCTCGCCATCACATCCGCCTTCAAGATTCGTCGCCCCGAGCTCGTCATTGTCATCCCATGCTCCATCGATTTGGTTTTCCCGCCCGACCTTTGAATCGTCGCGTCCGCCGCTCAACTGCGATTTCCTTTTCCAGCCTAGTCACCTCTGCGGGTCGCTTGACGAGCTAACGAGTCGAGCCGACGTCTGTTCTAGCTTGACTCGCGAGCTCGATCGATAAACTCAACTCGTCGAGTCTGTTACCGAGTCGAGCTTGAGTCAGCTCATGAGCCAGCTTGACTCAATTGCACCCGTGATTGTTAATAAACTTTGAAATCTCTTTGATCAAATAAAAAATATAAGAAATATTACATAAAAAAAATTATAAAGTCAAAATTTTGGTTTTCCCGCCCGACCTTTGAATCTTCGTGTCCGCCCGCTCGATTGAGATTTCCTTTTTCTGCCCAGTCACCTCCGCGAGTATCTTGACAAGCTGACGAGTCGAGCGGACGTTTGTTCGAGCTCGAGCTCGACTCGCGAGCTCAATTGATAAGCTCGACTCATCGAGCTTGTTACCGAGTCGAGCTCGAGTTAGCTCGCGAGCCGACTTGACTCAGTTACACCCCTAATTGTTGATAAACTTTCAAATCTCTTTGATCAAATAAAAATATAAGAAATATTAGATAAAAAAGATTATGAAGTCAAAATTTTCACATCATTCGCCCAAATTAGTATTTTCTCTGCTAAACGAATGTATCTCGTCACCCTCCATAATTAAAGAGGCGGGCGGCCCATGTTGAAAACCAAGGGAGAGATAAGGTGGAAGGAGATGGAACAAAAACTAGTAGGAAGGTTCGCATTTTTGACCCCTCGCTACAGGCGGACCAAAGGCCCCAAGACGCGTGCTGTATTTCTCGCTCCCCGCATCGAAACAAAAATCCAACGAACTCCTCGCAACCGCATCAACAACGAGGTCGGTCGTTCTCGTTCCTCTCCTTTCATCTCCTCCTCCACCGCTGCGTCGTCGACGAACTGTTAGATGTGCGGCGGTCATCTAGGGTTAAGTTTTGTCCTGCTTCCTCATATGCTTCCACTATAAACCCTGCTTTCTCTCTGATCCAGCCTCGTTTCTTCTCTACCATGTTGTTCCTCCCCATCTTGCCCCTTGGAGATGCCTTGGTGGAAATCCTCTTCCTCTTCCTCTTCATCTTCTGCGTTGTCCCAGGCTCGGAAACAATCTCCGTCTTCCTCGGCAGGCGCCTCGCCATCTAAGAACACACGTAGGGAATCATCAGCTTTCCTGTGGAGCAAGCGCGGTGAGTCTCCACAGCCGCGGCTCGAGCGGCAGCGGAAGGTGCGTTCCGTTGCCGAACTAGGTATCGCGGCCGTAGACACCGTGAGCTCCACGCCGGTGTCGAGATCGCCAAGCAATCTTGATTTGGTTCCTCTGCGGTCATCGTCCTCGCCCGTGCTGCTCCCTCACCCGCTGCCATTGCCCGAGTATTCGCATAATAATGGGGTCTGTGCCGCAGGAAGCGCGTGTGCGGGTTGCCGCTTGCCGTCACCGAAGGGTGCGGCGGCAGGTGGGGGAGTGGAGGCGGAGGGGAGTGGTAGCGCTGTGGACTGCTGTGTTCCTATAGCGACGGAGGTGAATGGGGAGAGGGCTTCTGCTGCAGCCGGAAGGTATGTTGTTTTTCTTCTTTTTGAATATTCTGATGCTTTAGTTGACCTGTTAATTCCACTTCCCTTGCTATTCCTTTTTGTCACTCTTGCGAAGAATTGATGAATTTTCTACTAAAAAAAGGAAGAGACGAGTTCCGAAGTTTGTCTTCTATACATATATGAATGACGAAAATTTTTTTTTGGTTTTTAGTAGGCTTTACATTCATCCTTTGCTACGCTATGTTTTAGTGCTCTTTGCGATTTTCTTGCTCTTCTTTTACAGCTTTTTTGTTGAAGTAAACCAATTTTGAAAGTTGAATATTAGCCAAAGGTTCAAAAGAAGTGTCATGCTTAATGCGGCAGAATCAAACAAGTCACTTATTTCTAATTGCTACTGTAGAGGCAAAAGTATTAGCTTAGAGGCTGTTGTGCTCTTTCATCATCTATTGGTACATTTTCTGTTAGTTTTCTTTCGTACCAGATTTTGTTATTACACTAATAGCTGCTAGATAGGCAAGAATTGCAAGGATTTCCTCTCTTTTTAACGACTATAGTACTAACGTAGATAAAGCTTTAACATAAAGTTCAATTAGAAAGGACTTCCTACTGATTATAATGGTTTTTATCTTATAATAATGTTCTTATGCCATTGCAGTAGACCAGCTTGTCCTAACACTCAGAAGAGTCCGGAGCACATTGATCCACCTATGAAGGGATGGAATTTTACTAGTCATAGGAAGGCAATTCATGATCCAAACTCTGTTGAAAGTCTAACCTTTAGGTTAAACATACCTGCTAAAAGTGCTCCACCGAGTGGCTTCTCAAGTCCTGTGCTTAGTCCTCGGAGATTGAGTAATGTGGATGTTTGCCCTTCCACATTCAATGTTTCACAAGGGCTGCAGCTTTGTTTTGCTACTGAGGCCCCTTATGTGGATATGATGGCAGGCTTATCTCCCCAAGCATCACCTGATAGATCACCAATATATAGTCCAGTTATCAAAAGTTCTATCCCAAAGTCAAAAAATCCAAGCGCACCTCAATCTCCTCTTCATCCTAAGATGTATTCAGATAGTTCTGGTGCATGGCATGAGAATAATGTGAATGTCCACCCTTTGCCTCTCCCTCCCGGACCTTCCATTCTGGTGCAGCCTAGCTTTTCTCATCAAAACGCATCAAAAAATGATGGGGCTTCAATGACAAGTCAATGGCAGAAGCAAAAACTCATTGGCAGTGGTACATTTGGGAATGTTTACAAGGCTACCAATAGGTGAGGCAGAGGGCTTCCTGATGGATGTCATATCATATTTTCCTATTATTCTTGCCACGTTCTTACCCATTTTACTATGATCTTGTGCAGGCATACAGGTGCTCTATGTGCTATGAAAGAAGTAAATATAATCCCTGATGACCCTAAATCTGCAGAGTGTTTGAAGCAACTGGAACAGGTTAGTTCCTTGTGCCATATCCAGATTCTCAAATGCCTGTCACTGTGGCTTGTTTACTGAGAGCATTATGAGGGAACGAATACTTTGCTACACTTGAAACAATGACTGTTAATTTGGAGATCGACAATGAATTAAAATGCTATTCTGTGAATTTATAATTAATAAATTGATTTTAACTTCTTGTGAAACTGCTGCAGTATATTCTAAATTTGTCTCTTTTTGAGAAATGAAGCACTAAGGCTTCTTTTAGGTTGCATGATTATGCTTTTCCTAGGGGGATTCGATCTTATTTTAACTTCTTGATTATGCTTTTCTTTGCCTTCATATTTTCATGATTTTAAAAAATAAATAATATGCATTTACCCTGATTATCATGCAGCAACTCATTGATTTTGCTTCTTTTGTAGGAAATCAGAGTTCTTAGTAAATTGAAGCATCCAAACATTGTGCAGTACTACGGAAGTGAATTGGTGAGTCTGTCTGCATAATTATGATCTGATGATTGTCAATGGTCTACGAGTTTTGTTTCATATTTTTATACATTTATGCAGACTCAGGATCAATTTTTTATATACCTAGAGTATGTATATCCTGGTTCAATTAACAAGTATGTTCAAGAGCATTGTGGAGCTATGACAGAATCTGTGGTTCGCAATTTCACACGCCATATTCTCAAGGGGCTGGCTTACTTGCATAGTACAGATAACATCCACAGGTTCTTGTTTTCACTTTGAAGTTTCTATTAACGTTTGTGGTTTAGTCTCTGCATTCATTTGACTTATGAAACTATTCTTTTCACTTCGAAGTTGTAATGATGATGCACTTTTAGATCAAATTTATGTCCTATTACTGTGTGCAGTGTGTATATTTTTCTTGTTTTCCATTTAAGATACATCTTGTGATTGTACTCCATCAAGTGCCTCGAGAAGATACATTTGAGAATACATGTTTGTGTTTAAAGTTCTAAACCTGCAACGACCTCTTATAAAGTCAACTTGCTCAATTGAAGTATCCTAAGAATTTGCCTTATCATACATGACCAATGATATGCATTAGATCTCAAGAAACGTTCACCAAGGAAATAACTCATATACTGTTTCAATTTCTCCATTTTAAATCGACTCAGTTAATTTAAAAATAGAACCGCATAGTACTAAGAAAAGGACCTCTTGGCCTAAATTTGACAAAACTCGGATGATTTTTCACAAAGGTACAAGAATTAAATTTGCCATTTGCAAATAAAGGACTAGTGTTTTGTGCTGGTTCCTGAAAGAAATTAAAGCTTCTCTTTTCCTAATGTTGAACATTCTTTGCTGATGGTATATAGGTCTGTAAATGATGACTAGCAGAAAGCAGCTAACCCTTTACTTTTTTTTTCTTCTTCTGATTACCGGTGCATGACATGTTAGTGCCCAGGGTTTCCTAATGGTGCTATATGATAATGCATGAATTCACACATGAAATCAAAGTTTCTTGTTAATTTTCCATTAATTATTAATCATTCTTTTAGTTTGATGAAACCAAAATACAATCAAAATTTAGGCAAACAATAATTTAATAGTTGTCTATATAAAAAATTTAGCATAAAAGTTTAGGATCACAAAAATTTACATGTCAATCATAAATTACATGAGTATAAAAAAAACTTGATTTTATGAAATTTAACTAAATTCACTAGCACAGACAGACCAACAAAAATATAGAATAGAGAAAGATAAATAAAAATATCATCAAAACAAGAATATACGTCTCACTCCTATTAAGTATTAACTTATCTTGAATGTTGGCTTTCTGCTATTATTATAAGAATGAATAAAGAATCAATATTCGTAAGTGTACCTAAATAGAAAAAATCTAATGATGATGATCTGTAGTTTACTTTGTTTACTGACTAGAAATTCATTGATATATTCCCTTCTTCAATTTGTCCTTTTAGTAAAGTGTTTTTTTTTTGGCAAGAGTACCAATTTAGATGTTGACGCTTGAATGTTTCTTTCTATGTGTATTCTAAGTTTTTTGTCCTTTTTTTATTTGATCTTTCCAGGGACATTAAAGGAGCGAATTTACTTGTTGATGTCAATGGTGTGGTAAAGCTTGCAGACTTCGGGATGGCAAAACATGTGAGTTGTGTAACTTCGGAATTTCTAAGAGATATTTGATGTTGTTTTGTTATTGTTGCTTGCATTTATTTATTTTTATGTCAGGACAGCAATTTGTGATACAATGCCTAAGAAGCAAAAAGTGAATTATTTTGGAGGAAAAAAGAATTTTTTCTATTCACATGAATTATATCTGCAGTAAATGTTGATTCGAACACATCCCCTTGGGACATTTCTTTGGTTTCCATGACTTTTGCTACACTTGAGTGTTTATTCTATTGCAATCGCTAGTATCAGGGTAAGTGCCTGCCAATAGGGTTTAGTGATACCTGTCAAACTTGATCACATTCTAAAATCGAAGTTATGCAAAATGTACCTGTTAGACCGGCCCAGGATGGGCCCGCTGGACCGGTCCAACAGGGACGGGTCCACTTTTACTCTAGGCGGAAGCCTGGCTGGGCGGAAAAAGCAATGGGGGTGGAACCCCCTTTGGGCCCCACTTGTGCTTAATGCGATTTTGGGAGGGAAATTTTGAATTGAAAGGCTGTTTTAGGTATTTTGTAATTGTCCTTTTTCTTTAATTAGGAGAGATGATGAGAATTAGGGCTCATCTTGAATTTGAATTATTTTGAGATCTAGGGTTTGGTGTTCTTGGGCTCTTGGCTTTGTCGGAGATCGTTGGAGAGTTGTTCTTCCTCTTGAATTGATGAACAAAGTGTATCTTTGCTGTTTTCTTTGGTTTCTATTGAAATACAAGCATTTACTTGTGTTTTTCTTTCCGATTTCCCTATTTCCTGTTGTATTTCTGTTGTTTTGCTGCTGTGGATAGCAGTTGCTGCTGTAATTTTTACGGGTTTGGGTTAGGATTACTTGAGAACTCAAGTATTTCCTATCAAATTGGTATCAGAGCGGCGATTTGGGACAACCGGCTGCTGAAATTCTGAAATTTTAGCAAGTTATCGTTTCCGGAAGAAGTTTTTTTGGGATCCGTTTGAAGAACGATGGCCGGGAAGAAGGTAGACGTCTTGGAAGGCGAAGTCGGTCAATTAAAAACCGATTTGGAGGAAAGATTTTTTTATTTTCAAAATCAAATCACCACCAACAATGAAAGGTTGGAGGGAAAATTCACGGCCATGGACGAAATGATGAAAAAATTATTGGAGATGAAGACTAATCCGACGGCGTCGGAAGTAAGAGAGACTATCGGAGACCACAGTGTAGGAGGAAATCCGAACCCGCTGAGGGGTAGGAGGAATCAGGATGTAGAGATCCTTGAGGGAGAAGACGACATGCCACCTCTAGAGCCACTTTCTAGGGAGGAGATGAGCATGGGGAATGATCGATGAGGTGCTGATTTTAGCGGAAGAAGAGGGGAATTTCAGCGTTGAGGTGCTGATTTTGAATGTCGAAGAGGGGAATATGATGAAAGTGCAGATTTTGGCGGAAGAAGAGAAGAATTTCAGCGTCGAGGTGCTGAATTTTAGCGTCGAGGTGCTGATTTTGAAAGGGGAAGAGGGGAATATGACGACGGATTCGGATACCAACGCCGGAGGGAGGACCGGGACACTTGGGGAGCACCTCATCTTAGAGGAATGGGAGGGTATGGAGAGTACCGAGGTAACGGAAGAGATCCGAAGGTGAGGAAGTTGAAGATGCCCATCTTTGAGGGTGAAGATAGCCATGGCTGGATATACAAGGTGGAATGTTACTTTGCAGTCAACGGGTTGACAGATGATGAGAAGCTGACGGCGGCAGGATTGTGTCTGGAAGGGAAGGCGTTGGCTTGGTATCAGTGGCGAGACAGGAGAGAGCCTCTCAGGAACTGGAGAGAGTTTAAGGATTGTTTATTAGAGCATTTCCGAGCCGATGGGAAAGGGGGTGTGCTTCCGTTGTGATGAGAAGTACATGCCAGGGCATAGATGTAAGGACCGAACTCTTCAAGTTCTCCTAGTTTGTGAAGACGAGGAAGACGAGGAGGGAGGTGGGAGCAGGACTAAAGAGGAGGAGGAGGAGAAGTTGCATCTAGATGTAGCAGAAGTCTCTCTGAACTCAGTAGTGGGACTCACTTCGAGTCACACTATGAAGGTGAAGGGAGAGATATCTGATCGCGAGGTTGTGGTGTTGATAGACAGTGGAGCGACCCACAATTTCATTTCCACCCAGATTGTAGATGTGTTGGGGATGGAGCTAGTGGATACCGGAGGTTACGGGGTAATGATGGGCACCGGGAAGGTGGAGATGGGTCGAGGAGTCTGTCGAGGAGTAGTATTGAAGATTCAAGGGATCCATGTAAAGGAAGACTTCCTTCCCTTGTAATTGGGGAGTACGGATGTCATCCTTGGGATGAAATGGCTGCAGACATTGGGAGAGACCAAAATCAATTGGGGAACACTGAGGATGAAGTTGGTGGTAGGGGGTAGGAAGAGGACGATTCAGGGTGATTCCGGGCTAACCAAGGTAGGGGTTTCTTGCAAATCCCTCATCTGAACCATTCAAGAAGAGGGGGGAGGCTACTTAGTAGAGTTGCACCGCCTGGAAGGGGTCAGATTGGAGGAGGAAGGCAATGTTTCCTCTGCATTACAGCCGCTCATACACCAGTTCAGCGAGGTCTTTCACCCGCCCCAGGGTTTACCTCCTCAGAGGGAGTTGGAGCATGCCATTACTCTGAAAGAAGGTGCGACTCAGTGTTCGTCCTTACTACTACCCATAGATTCAAAAAGATGAGATTGAAAAGCTGATCCGAGAAATGCTGGAGGCAGAGATTATCAGACCCAGCAACAGCCCTTTTTCTAGTCCAGTCCTCCTAGTCAAGAAGAAGGACGGGAGTTGGAGATTTTGTGTGGATTACAGGGCTCTGAATAAAGGCACTGTACCAGACAAATTCCCAATTCCTATGATTGATGAGCTACATGGTGCAGTGATGTTTTCTAAGCTAGATCTAAAATCTGGATACCACTAGATCAGAATGAAGGAGGCCGATGTTCCAAAGACAGCGCTCAGGACACATGAAGGGCATTATGAATTTCTGGTAATGCCCTTTGGTTTGATTAATGCTCCTGCAACATTTCAATCCTTGATGAATCGGGTATTCAAGCAGCACCTTAGGAAGTTTGTCCTGGTCTTTTTCGATGACATCCTGGTGCACAGCAAGACTGTGGAGGAGTACTGGGAGCATTTGAGAGTGGTATTGGAAGTGCTTCAGGAGCACCAGTTGAAAGCCAACCTGAAGAAGAGCAGCTTTGCTCAGGCAAGTGTGGAATACTTGGGACATGTGGTATCTCAAGGAGTGGCAGCGGATCAAACTAAAATTGAGGCAATACAGAAATGGCCGCTACCTAGGAACCTCAGGGAATTGAGGGTTTTTCTAGGATTGACTGGATACTACAGGAAGTTCGTGAAGGGATACAGTACCATTGTCTGGCCTTTGACCGAGCAGCTGAAGAAGGACAATTTTTGCTGGGGAGAGGCAGCCACCCAGGCGTTCGAGAGGTTGAAGGAAGTCATGATGACGATCCCTGTTCTAGCTCTTCCAGACTTTGATCAGGCTTTTGTAGTAGAGACAGATGCCTCAGGATATGGGCTAGGGGCGGTGCCGATGCAGAATCACAGGTCAGTAGCGTACTTCAGTCAAGTGCTTTCAACTAGAGCTAGATTGAAGTCAGTGTATGAAAGAGAGCTGATGGCCATTGTTTTGGCAATCCAAAAGTGGCGACCGTACCTCTTGGGAAGACACTTCATCGTACGAACTGATCAAGGAGCTTGAAGTATTTGTTAGAGCAAAGAATGATGACCGAAGAGCATCAGAGGTGGTTATCCAAACTATTAGGCTATGATTTTGAGATCCAATATAAGCCTGGTTTGAAGAATAAGGCGGCCGATGCTTTATCCAGATGCGTTGGGGAGATTCAGGAGTTGGTTGTGTCGGTGCCATTGATAGTAGACTAGGGGGGCCATCAAAGAAGAAAGTATGCTGAACGAGGAGCTGAGGAAGATCAGGGAGGATTTGGAGAAGGACAAGAGCAGTCATCCTGGTTACTATACATTAAAGGGGGGAGACTATTGTATCAGGGGAGGTTCGTGATGCCACGAACTTCCATACACATTCCCCATATGTTGCAAGAATTTCATGACAGCTCAGTTGGAGGTCACTCAGGAGTTTAGAAGACATACAGGATGGCAACGGAACTCTACTGGAAGGAGATGCATAAGGATGTGGAGGAGATGGTGGCGGGTTGTGAGGTCTGCCAAAGAAACAAATACATGGCCATGGCTCCAGGAGGTTCACTACAACCATTGGCACTTCCAAACAGTGTTTGGGAGGAAGTGTCCATGGATTTCATCGAAGGCTTACCCAGGTCAGAAGGATTCACGGTCATTCTGATGGTGGTGGACAGGCTCAGCAAATATGCACACTTCATTCTCTTACGACATCATTACACGGCGGTGTCAGTGGCTGCGACATTTATCAGGGAGGTGGTCAGGCTGCATGGGATTCCAGAATCTATTGTGTCTGACCGAGACAAAGTGTTCCTCAGCCAGTTTTGGAGAGAGCTGTTCAGGATGCAAGGCACGGTCCTAAAGAGAAGCACCGCCTACCATCCACAGACCGATGGGCAAACGGAGGTGGTGAACCGAAGTTTGGAAACCTACTTGAGGTGTTTTGCTTCAGAAACACCGCGGATGTTGGCAAAGTGGCTACCTTGGGCTGAATATTGGTACAATACATCGTACCATTTTGCCTCTCAGATGACCCCGTTTAGAGTGTTGTATGGAAGGGATCCCCCACACTTAGTGCACTACGGGAAAGGAAGTACACCGGTCTCGACAGTTGAGCAGTACCTGGAGGAAAGGGACAGGGTGCTGGAAGAATTAAAGAAGCATCTGATGAGGGCCCAACATATCATGAAGAAGCAGACGGATTCACACAGGAGAGACATGCAGTTTGAAGTGGGAGAGAAGGTATTTCTAAAACTACGACCCTACAGGCAAAAGACAGTAGCGAGAAGAAGGAATGAGAAATTGGCGCTAAGATATTTTGGTCCCTATGAAGTGTTGGACAAGATCGGAGCAGTGACGTATCGTCTGAAGTTTCCCTCTTCTGCTAGCATACACCCGATGTTCCATGTGTCACAGCTGAGGAGAGCATTAGGGGAACAGGTAGATAGTACGGAGCTACCAGCATCTTTGATAGAGGAGTTAGAGGTGGTCATGAAACCTATGGAGCTACAAGGAGTGAGGATTGATAAAAAGGGAAACAAGGAGGTGTTGATTAAATGGAAGAATCTTCCGGATTACGAAGCTACTTGGGAGCCTTATGAAATTGTGAAGCAACAGTTCCCCGATTTTCACCTTGAGGACAAGGTGAGTTTTTGGGAGGGGAGTACTGTTAGACCGGCCCAGGATGGACCGGCTGGACCGGTCCAATAGGGACCGGTCCAATTTTACTCTAGGCGGAAGCCTGGCTGGGCGGAAAAAGCAAGGGGGGCGGAACCCCCTTTGGGCCCCACTTGTGCTTAATGCGATTTTGGGAGGGAAATTTTGAATTGAAAGGCTGTTTTAGGTATTTTGTAATTGTCCTTTTTCTTTAATTAGGAGAGATGATGAGAATTAGGGCTCATCTTGAATTTGAATTATTTTGAGATCTAGGGTTTGGTGTTCTTGGGCTCTTGGCTTTGCCGGAGATCGTTGGAGAGTGTTTCTTCCTCTCGAATTGAAGAACAAAGTGTATCTTTGCTGTTTTCTTTGGTTTCTATTGAAATACAAGCATTTACTTGTGTTTTTCTTCCCGATTTCCCTATTTCCTACTGTATTTCTGCTGTTTTTCTGCTGTGGACAGCAGTTTGCTGCTGTAATTTTTACTGGTTTGGGTTAGGATTACTTAAGAACTCAAGTATTTCCTATCAGTACCCCAACCAACTAAAAAGAAATGTAAGGAAAAAAAAAGCTTCAGTTATCTATTGAGTATTTTGAACTTCATAGGCAATCGATGTGAATATGATTATTAAAATATACATACATTATTTAAGGTTAATTGTATAAAGATGTGACTGTTGGGAAGAGGCTATATTTCTTACAGTTTTAACTATTACACAATTCCCTAATCATATTAGTTTTGATGTGTTTCACAATTGTTATATTTCCTTTTAGATGTTGCGCTTAGGTTTATCTATGATACTCCTTTGCCTAAAGATTTTCAAAGGACAAATTTTTTGCTTGAAATATATCTTATTTTGTTTCATTCTTTATTAACGTGTGGTTTTCCTTAGAATGAGCTTAGTTTGATGTTATCTCCAACTTTAAGACCATTATTTTTTCTATAGGCTTCAAATGTTCATAAACTAATTAGTTCCCTTAATGGCCATTGGAAAGGAGATCCCTTTTATTTTTTCCTTCAGGGATTCAATTTTTTAACTTTTCTACTCATCCCATGTCTCCTTACATTGATAACTTTTGGTACTTGGTACTTATGATTTATCTTATAGATATTTTCTTTTGTATATCTAATTGATAGTTTTCTTCTGTAATGATAATAACACTTTTCAGCATGGCAACTGCTTGTAATGCCATATTGATTACTTTTATACCTTTGTAGAAATGTGCAAGTATAGAGAGAGTGTACACAATTTTCTTGCATGGAAACTTGCATTTCTCTAGCTAGATTTTGATTGTGGATCTTCAAAATTAAAATTCTAGAATGTTGATTTTGATACACACTACTCCGATATAATAGGAGATCAACAATTTGTAATTCATATAACTAATGACAATTTGACCATGCATCATAGTTATGTGGAAAATAAATAATGTTCTATAAATAATACCAAAAACGTGTTAATGGGCATTTCTTGAAATCAATATTATATGTTTTATTCTTAAGAAGTTTGGTAGAATTCATCACAATATAATATCTAGTTGTCTGCCCGCCTACATGTACACACACTCATAATATAAATTGTAGTACAAAATACGGTGAATGAATCAAACAATAGAAGAAAGATACAATATAATGATTTAATTTAAATGCCATTCTTATTTTAATTTTCGTATATCTAATCATGTAGATTGATTTATACCTCATTATTATTACCATTTTATTAAAGAGAAAAGGACCAAAATGGTCCCTCAACTCTTTGTGAGGGACCAAAATGGTCTCCAACTCTTTTGAGGGGACCAATTTGGTCACTCAACTTCTTTAAAAGTGGTCTTTTTGGTCCTAACATTAAATTTTTGGGTTAATGGTTTTAAATAAAAGAATATTTTGGTCATTTTTATATTGAATTATGTATTAAATATAACTTTTAAGTAATAGTGTTTTTTTTTAAATTTTATTAAACATTTATTTAACAAAAAAATTAGTAATAATTCTAGTCTATAATGATCCTATATTAAAAACTAGAATTATTAATAATTTTTTAAATTAAAACTAGAATTATTAATAAATTTTTTATTAAAGAAATGTTTAATAAATTTTTTTAAAAATTACTATTACTTGAAAATTATATTTAATAAATAATTTAATTAAAAAATAACTAAAATACCCCTTTATTTAACATCATTAACCACAAAATTTGATGTTAGGAAAAAAAAGGCCTCTTTTTAAGGAGTTGAGAGACCAAATTGGTCCCTCAAAAGAGTTCGGGATTATTTTGGTCATTTTCTCTTTTATTAAACATGAATATTGGTACAATTTGTATGGCAAAGCATAGTATATGTGCATTGTTTGATGTGGTGATGCAATTTCCATATGTATGACTAATGTTTACAAGAAATTCAGCAATCTTATCTTATATAGCTGAAATAGAACAATTGGTGAATTTCGTTATTATAGTCTTAGCAGGTGACAGAGATGCTGCTAATCTGAATGATTTCTAAATAGTTGTTTATAGGGCTTCATTGATGGCCACTATTTTGTGATCAGGTAGCCTGGGAAATGCCATTCTTCAAAGGAAAATTACTTGCACTATTACATCCAGATGCTCTTGGAAGATAATATTGGATGCAGATCAACCTACAAGTAGATGAACTGTTTACCTAATTGAGCTAAGATGGAGAGTAATGCTCACTTCGTTGATATCAGCAACTGATTTGGAAAAAAAAGTTGTAACTTGACATGGAAACTTTGACTAAATTGACCTCAACAATAAATTGTCAAATGGTTTATTGATGAATAAGGATAATATCTAATGCTTTGGCTTTTTCTGATGCTTATAGCATTCGAAAGATAACCGATATATGGTGAGGTGAGCTAGTAAAATTTGGTAACCTTAAAAACTAACTACCTAATATGTATTGGTGTGGTATAACTGTAAGAATCAAAACAAACAAGGTTGGATGTGACCTCATAAAAGCTATAGACGAGTGGAAGAGCATATCATAACAAAATATAGGTTTTTTTTTTTTCTGCGGGATGCAATTAATTTCATGTAAGAGGCATAGACTATATAATAATTTGAATGTTTTTTTAATTAACTGTGTTTGTTTGTTTGTTTTGTGTCAATTACTTGCATTGATTGAAAGGAATGTTGCCATAGTATATACATTAGTCATCTTTCGTATCATTGCAGAAAATTTATCTGATTATGCAGCGGACATGTGCACCATCAACATTGTTTCCTTTTTTTTTTTTGTTTCAGTTAAGTGGAGCTGCGCCTGCACTTTCCTTAAAGGGGACACCATACTGGATGGCTCCAGAGGTATTCTTTCGACAAGCATATTATTTTATCTCTCATTGCAACTATGATTTCTATGGGGTTCATGTTTATTTTATTTTCTTGAATTAATGGATGTTCATAAATGGTTTTATTCCATCTGTGTATGAGAATAATTAATTGCATCCTTTAGTGGAACCTTAGATCTTATTGATGCCCTTCTCTTATTATTTCCCTTAGACAAATATCTTTTTGCAAGATAAGGTTTTGTTCTGCTAAAGGATATCTCAAGGGCAAAAATGTTTCAAGTTCTTTTAGATTATAGTGCTAAGAAGTTTAGTGAGTACTAGATGGCCAAAATAATAATCTAAAAAGGGCATTCCAAGTGCATGGAACTCCCACTCATGCAACGTTTGGGAAGTTTTTATTGTATGCAACCTTAATCATATATTTGCGAAGATTAGGAACCCAAGACTTCTCGAATGCATTAGTGGTAATTTAACTACAAGCTCCTGATATGCCCTCTGAAACAATAATCTATGCACTTTTTGAATTACGTAACAGTTGCTTTTGTAGTATTGTGTTGTGTGAACAAGGAGCAACCTTAGCAGAGGAAACTAAAGAGCAGGGTTATGATAAATGCTAAAGACGTCAATTCTCATCGTGATCATTAGCCCTATCCTAATCTAACCATTTGGGGTTGGATTTATGAATCCTCATTCTCCAAATATTTTTTCAAATATTTTTTATTAGTTAAGCATGAGGTTTTAAACCTATTATATTAGAAAGTAAGAACAGTTCAAAATAAGAATGCTAAAATTTGCATGAAAACAATTAAGAAGGTTGGTTTTGTCTCCCATCTATTTCTCAATGCAATGGTTAGCATAGATAAAATTTGAGAACTCCTAAGCAAGCTTTTTTAGGATGATCTTGTTGATTAGAGCACATGGAATTTCTGTCTAGGAACCAAAGATTATTACCAGGAGTCTTTTGTTCAATGTTCTAGCCCTTGGTGCTCTAACAATGGTACTTTATACTAAAAAGAATAAATTTTATTCAAAAACAGTCAAGTAACTAGAATCTATTAACTAATGTTTTATTTATTCATGATACAGAATTGTGTGGGTTTTGTTGATATATAATGACAATTTTAGGTTTCCAGTCATATATTTGGTCTGCCATTGGTGAGAGACAAAAAATCATGATCTGAGGCTTCAGTGTGATGCCATGCATTTTTTTTGTTGTTATTGATATACTTGATAAAGTCCCATGATATTTTATGTTTCAAACTTTCTCTAGATTTAGTTCTTCAATCAAGTTAGTTACCTAAATGGTCTGAACTTTTTCTCCAACCTTTTTATGTAGGTTGTACAAGCTACAATGGCCAAGGATGTTGGTTATGATTTTGCTGTTGATATTTGGAGCCTTGGTTGTACAATTATTGAAATGTTTACTGGCAAACATCCTTGGAGTGGACTTGAGGGGGTAATCCTACTGAACTTTCTAAGCACAACAATTGAATCTCTAACAAAGCTGTGTACATGCAACTTTGGTTTATGCTGCTCTAATCTGCTTTCATCTTTTCTTAACAGAAGATATTATATTGAATATCTAATTAAAATTCATGCGCAGAGATTTGCTTAATTAGTAGTTGCGTAACAAATGCAATATTCTTGAAAGATCGGATGTTAAAATTTGAACATTGGTTCTCTGCTGCAGTCAAAGTTAACTTTTCCGCATTAAAGGGCTGTTCCATTGGGTGAAAAACTTGAAGTAAAATAAAATGTTTATATCCACAGTAACTTCTCTGAATTTGGTTAGAAGTAATTTTGGTGAAGTTTCTTCATTTTTAAATTTTATTCACAAATTTGTTTGCAAAATAAAATTTTCAAAATCAACTACATTTACTGCAAGGTTTATTACACAGAAACTGTATTCTGACATGTTTTAGTTGGAGTATCTATCTTAGCATGAAAATAAAATTTGTCTTTGATTTAGTAATTTTATTTAACTATCAATACAGAACGTCTGATCCCACTGTAGATAGTGACATAAAGGTTTGATGTTGTTGTTATTGTTATTATATCAATACAAAACATCTATTTTTAATGGCACATTGGCACATAGTGTCTAATATGGATTTTATCTCTTATGACTCATCTTGTCCATGTATTTCTGTTAGAAAAAAAGCTTTAGAAGAGTAGAAGAGAGACGAAGTAAGGAATTCTTTATTGCATAATTCGAGCAGAACGTAGTTTTATAAATAGAGGGTTACATTGGTGAAAACAGGAAAGAAATTAATTCACCCCAATGAAAGGAAATTTGAATATTACAATAGGTTATAACTGAAAATTCTCTTAAATAAATTAGGTAAAATCCCTAGAAATCAGCTTCAAATCAGCCACATGACAAAAACTATTCATTCAGCTCAAAATTGTGTACTGTCAGGGCTTCTAAGCTACCGACTTGCCAACAAACAAGGATCCGCCAACTCTGTCCATAGTCATGCCAACTGGAATACCATCTTGGGGCTAGAAGCCACTTGCCCAACTTGCCATTTACATGCTGGATTCCTATCTAGAGAAAGGTCTATGTTCAGTAGAAGATAAATTTCAATAATTCTTCCTTTTTGTTTGGAATAAGCGTGGAACCATTCAACACTCTTCTCAAGCTGATTGGTAAACATCATGCAAGCCAAATTTGCTAATCCTTTTTTTTTTTAAATAAGGACCTTGCCAACCATTTGGTTAGAATGCAATAACTATGACCAGAAGAGGGAATATATGAAACACATAGGTCTCCATTTTGAATTTTTTATTAATGAAGTGTTGATATATGTCCGCATATTTAGGTCAATCTTGATGGAAAGGCTTGTGACTGATATTGATGGTAAACTTATTATCATAATATAATATTATTGGAGTCTTGATAGTCACTTAAAATTCCTCTTAAGTGTACATTATAGTAGATTAATTGACTAATCCCCCTAGCTAAGGATTTGAGTCTAGCTTATGCACTACCATACATAAGTGTGGTATCTTGATGTAGATATCTTGAAAACTATAGAACCTTCCTAATTAGCATCAGTATAGGATTCTATTATTTTAGATTCCCTTAACCATTTTTGGGTTCCTTTTAAAATGTTGCGTATCCTTATGGTAGTAATTATGTGTTCTTTATAAGATGTATACATGAATTGAATTACCATGATAATAGCAAAGGTATTGTCAGGTCAGGTCCGAGATAAATTGATGAGTTCCCAATCAATTTTTTATGTCTTCCCTTATTGATTGGATTGCTTGTGTTAAGATCACTTAATTTTGTGTTAGGAGCAATTAGAATGTCAGCAAGTTTGCTCTTAAGTCAAATCAGTTTCTTTAAGATATCTAGAGCATATTTTCTTTGAACATAATGGTAATATCAAATTTATTCTTAGCAAGCATCATTCCGACATAATAGTTGAGAGGATTAGTTCTTCGATTTTGAACTCCTTAGCTAACTTTTTGTACCCTTCTATTATAATGATATCACCAACTTATGATGGATTTATCATCCTTTTGTTTTTAGAACCATGTGTGATCAAAATGAGCTTGTTTAAATCCTTGTAGACAGCCTTGATAAATGTTTTAAATCGGGCTTTAAGTGATTGTTGAGTCAAAGTTGTAAATGGTGAAATCGGGAATCGAGGCGGATCGACGTGTAAGCCTCAAAACTAAAAAAAATAAAAAGTACTTGAACTTACAAATAATTCATAAAAATGATAAAAATAAAAGAGAACGTCAACATTTTTATTTGATTCATCCTCATAAATATGTAAACTACAAATCTCATTATGAAATGTTATTATAAAATGAAAGTTTGAAATGAGATTCAGAGTAAACATTCATTTAAAATTTAAATATACTATAAAGATCAGGATCCATGGCGGGCTCATCCTTACTTTCATTTTCTTCATAATAGCTCTCGTGTGTAATAATTATATCATTCTTAAATTCTGTCTCACTATCTTCTTCTAAACTTTCTTCAATTATAATATATTTTTTAACTTCCCATATTAATGAACATTGGATTTAATGTAATAGAAAATAAAACAACAAATTAATAACAAAACAAAGTAGTCCACTATATTTAAATCACTATTTGTTTTGTTTTTTTGAAGCTTGAACTCAATTTTGCTACTCTCTTTAAATTAATTGTGAAATAGAAGTTAATACCAATTTAGTAGTCATTTTAATATTAACATTGATGTCTTTATTCTTTTCATCATCAAACGCATTTTGAATTTTAAATCTTTCACTATTTTTTGCTATTATCTATTAATCAATAGATATTATATCATTAACAATCAAATAATTTATTTCATTATCACTAGTTATTCGCCTCTATAATTTGAAGTATTTTTCTTTCAAATTTTTATTAAACATTACACTACTATTCGACCTTGTCATTCATCCTATAGCTATTTGGTTCCTTCTCTTTGTATAATAAAGTAATCTATATATTGTTAAATTCAGAGAATTGGAGAGGAAAAATGCTTCTTAATTTCATTATACAAAACTATTCCTAAATCAGCCACCTGAATATGGAAGGAGATCAGCATGATCCAGGTTAGCCTCCCACGGATCCCCATCCTGGTTGTGGGATCAAGGGTTAAGGGATTGTTGAGATTTGAACACTCTACCTCAAGCTTGGGAATATAGATCTGTCATTTAGAGCTTAGTAATTAGCCCCAAAAAAGTAGAGTTATCAAGTCCCTTGGTGCACCATAGAGTCATCCATTTGGTCAAAACATTGGGAGAAATTAGCTTCAGACATTGCGGTAGCAAATGGTAGCAATGAAGGCTATATTAAGCAAGGTAGCAATGAAGGCTGCATTGGTTATAAATAATATAACAATTACAACGAAAGGTTAGCAATGAAGGTACGACGGTAGGAAAAAAAAATCTATTTTTAGGATTGCAACAATCTTCCAGGACAACAATAAAAAAAAATGTCTCAAGCAGCTCAGCACTTTGCATGCAAATCTCCTCTCGTCCGATCGACCAAGCCTTTATCCCAATGCAAATCAGTCGTCCGACTCCACCCAAACACTCCTGTTCGATTGACCCCATAACGGCGCATGCAGGGCCTCTGATCCCTCTGGTCTGATCGCAGAAAGGAGTGCAGGTCTTGCACTCTTGGTTGTCCTTATATTCTCTGCTCTGTCCATATGCACGTAAACAGAGGTCCTTCGTTTGACTTCTCTCACTTATGCTCGGCCGACTCTGGACGTTGCACGTAAGAGGAGCCTTCCCGCTTGATCTTTCCTTGGTCTTGGATGCATGAAGGGAGCAGAAGGATCAATATTTCTTAGAATTCCGATAATGAAGGCCAGTAGAGGGACCAATATTCCTCATAATTTCAGCAATAAAGGCCGGTGATGGGAACCTGCATTTCTCAGATTCCAGCAATGAAGGCTGGTGGTGGGAACCTGCATTCCTCAAATTTTGGCAATAAAGGCTAGTGGTGGGAACCTATATTCCTTAAAATTGTAGCAATGAGTGCTGGTGGTGGGAACATTTATTCCTTAGAATTCTAGCAATAAAGGCCACTTGTGAGAACCTGGAGAACCAACAAGCGCCAGCTTCTTTAGGGTAGGATAAAGTGCTTCTAATCTCTCTGTAGCCTCACTCTAGACATCTATGATTAACTCCCTACTTTGGGAAGTAGCGTACTCACCATTTGCATGCTCACCAACTCTTGGTCACCGTAAGCACGCACTGGACCGTAGCAGTGAGCTGCCTTACCACCAAGAAAACCATATTCTTCAACACTGCATACATTGTCTGGGCAACTCCACATATCAGGATCGTTCCATCGCCAAACTTTGAATCCAGCTAACCGACTTCAGTCCAAATTCGACCCGCAACGATTCCATCAACGACAGTGTAGAAGGTATGAAACGTGGGTTATGAAGTGTCCTTTGTTCAATTTGAAGGATTGATCCTGGTGGCTGAGATCTTAGGAGGTCGACTTCTACTATACAAAACTAGGCTTCGATCTTCTTTTACATCTCCCATATCTGAGGGTAGTGATCAGGGTTTGGGACAAGGAGGGGCTCTTCTAGTGGAGGATTTGATGGCGTGTACAACAGCTCTTCAACCACTCATTCCTTGCTCGATTTGGCTCTAACACACCCACGCAGTTCCTACTCACTCCCTCTTAATCATCTTCTTCACTCGGCTCGGCCCCCAGGTAGGCATGTACGAGAGTCGCACGTAGAATATCACAAAGGGGAAGCTCTCTCACTTGCTCAACTGCCCTGGACGCACGCGAGTAGGAACATAATGTAAGAACTAGTTCTCCCTCTCTCAGGCCCTCTTTTTTGAAGAAAATTAAATGCCTCTCTCTGATACCATGTTAAATTCAGGGAATTGGAGAGGGAAAATGTTTCCTAATTTCATTATTCAAAACTATCCCTATTTATTGATCTATACAAGATATGTTAATAAAGAAACAAATAAATATAAAATCATGTATAATTATTCTAATATAATCCTTCCTAAATCAGCCACCCGAATATGGAAGGAGATCGACGCTAAGGGATCAAGGGCAAAGGGACGGTTCAGCACACAAAATGCCTTGAGGTGTTAAGCCTCATTTAAAAAAGGTGTGCCAATGAGGCTTAAGCATCGAGGCGCTCATCTTGTGCCTCAGTTTGAGATGCTCCTTGAGGCGTGTGCCTCAAACGATTTTTTAAACCATAGTTTCAGTATGCACATAGACATTTTTCAACTTTTATATTGAACATGTCTTCTGAGGGTCACTGCTGCCCAGAAGAAATGTAGAATTTTTTAGTTAAGCTACCAATCAATGCATTCTTGACATCTATTTAATGAAGCGACCAGTCTAGGTTTATTATTTTTGAGAGGACTTGAATATTGTTAAATTTATCAGTAATAGTGAAATGCTTAGAGTACTTAAGCCCACAAGTTCGGATAAACCCTTGTGCATCCATCCATACTTTTTATCTCTCAAAGGATCTATTTGTTTGACATTTGACAATAAATACCCATTTACATTCAATAGGAATTTCCTTCTGGGTAGTTGAATGAATCTCATCTTCCATTACATCCTGCCATTTTAATTTATTAATGGCCTCATGCAGTCTTTGGGTTTTCAATTTCTACTGTGTTGGAAACTAAAGCTTTTATTGAAGAGGATAGATGATCATACCTCACAACATTTACTATTATTGACCTTTAGTAGGAACATAATGTAAGAACTAGTTCTCCCTCTCTCAGGCCCTCATTTTTGAAGAAAACTGAATGACTCTCTCTGATACCATGTTAAATTCAGGGAATTGGAGAGGGGAAATGTTTCCTAATTTCATTATTCAAAACTATCCCTATTTATTGATCTATACAAGATATGTTAATAAAGAAACAAATAAATATAAAATCATGAATAATTACCCTAATATAATCCTTCCTAAATCAGCCACCCGAATATGGAAGGAGATCGGTGCTGTGGGATCAAGGGCCAAGGAATGGTTCTGCACACAAAATGCCTTGAGGTGTTAAGCCTCATTTAAAAAGGTATGCCAATGAGGCTTAAGCATCGAGGCGCTCATCATGTGCCTCAGTTCGAGATGCTCCTTGAGGCGTGTGCCTCAAATGATTTTTTAAACCATAGTTTCAGTATGCACATAGATATTTTTCAACTTATATATTGAGCATGTCTTCTGAGGGTCACTAATGCCCAGAAGAAGATCAATGTAGAATTTTTTAGTTAAGTTACCAATCAATGCATTCTTGACATCTATTTAATGAAGCGACTAGTCTAGGTTTATTATTTTTTATAGGACTTGAATATTGTTAAATTTATCAGTAATAGTGAAATGCTTAGAGTACTTAAGCCCATAAGTTCGGATGAACCCTTGTGCATCCATCCATACTTTTTATATCTCAAAGGATCTATTTGTTTGACATTTGACAATAAATACCTATTTACATTCAATAGGAATTTCCTTTTGGGTAGAATGAATCTCATCTTCCATTACATGCTGCCATTTTAATTTATTAATGGCCTCATGCAGTGTTTGGGTTTTCAATTTCTACTGTGTTGGAAACTAAAGCTTTTATTGAAGAGGATAGATGATCATACCTCACAACATTTACTATTATTGACCTTTATATGTGTCTCATGACCAATTCCAGTGAATACTATGAGAATGTTAGCCAACTAGAGGACATCACACGTATCAGTTCAAAATGCATGAAGTGCGGTCAAAATTACTTGATCAAAATTACATTTGCATTTTTGGAGTAATGAAATTACGAAAGAAGCTTCTCTTACTCATAATTTGATCAAACATGATAGACATGATAGACAATGGCTGTGGACATTGCATAAAGCTCACTCAAACATCGCCCGTTCACGAAACGGACGATGCTGATACATCTAAAATATTGAAATTATCAGAAAAGGCCTCCATATTGCCCGAGTTGCCTCAGGAAGGTGAAATACATATTACAAATTTTGTTGTTCATAATAATAATCAAGATACTTGAGAAATAGAAAATTTGCACGATGATATCAATACATTATTATTATTTTTTCAAATTAATTAAAAAATCATACATATAAAAATATATAGGCCTGTGAGGAAATGAAATGTTCTTGTTTTCATCTTAAGTTTGATATACTTGCACGCTCACCACACCAATTATTTGGGTAAATAAATTATAATTCTTGTCAAAATTTTTATGTGTTGCAAAGCATTCAGTCATGCTCATGCTTCCTTGCTTGAAAAAATGCGAGTGATTTCATAATTCATAGAATTGAAAAGATTATCAAGATTTGAATACCATATTGTAACTTTCTCCCAAATTGCTTGTGCTATGTTGTGGATCATGTACAGTTCTATAGAATTGATGAGCTAGGACATCACCAAAGCATTGTTAGTATCCCACATTGAAAAGTAAAGGGTCACCTACTTTAGGTTGGCAAATGGTACCACTCAAGAATCTAACATGCCCTATTCCTCGAATCACCATTTGAATTGAGTGAGATCATTGGAAGTTCTTCTCAATGAGTTTGGTAGGATGGTAGGATGTAATTTGAAGAGGTGAGCTTTCCATGAAGACTTCCTGAGCGGTGTTGTGCCTTTCTAAGGTGGAAGAAGAACCTTTCTTCTGGACCTCTTTGCTTGACCCTATTAGGCCCTTCTTGTAGTTGCAAAAGAATTTTAGAAAAGAAGAAGATACAAATTCGTGGAAATTTTCGTTGCATCAAGTGGCTGAAACTTGGCCCTAAGGGTTACAAAAGTAAAAGACAGAAATTAACTTATCCTAGCATGAAAGAAATCTAAATAAAGCAATAGGATTTAATTTAAAAAAACTACGTAAACAATAGGTAGAATGCGTAGAAATCAACCAAAAATCAGCCGCATTACAACAGCCTACCATTCAGCGCAAAATCATGGTTCTGAATGGGAGAAAGCTGTAGGCATTTCCAATCAGCGAGGATCTGCCAACAGGAATATCATCCAAGTACAAGAACCTACCAGCCCAACCTGCCATTTACTTGTTGTCCTGTTTAGAGGAAGATCCTAATAAAATCTAATAAGAACATTGTTGGGCTGTTGATTGACATTGCATCCTAACAAAATTATTGGCCTTTCGATGACTGGATTAAAAGAATAGATGTATTAAATCTAACTCATGTTAAAAAAAAAATAGAAGTAGATCTAAAAACATCTTGGCTAGAAAGTATTAGAAATAGCCTACTTTTTTATTAGATTTTATCGGACACTGGGAAAAAGTATTCATGTAGCCAACCTCACGTAGTGGGGTAAAGACTTAGGCTTCGTTTGGGACTGCTTTTTTACTGCTTCCTAAAGCAACTTTTTAGAACAAAATATAAATTTTGTATTAAAAAACTGCTTTAAGAAGCAGTAAGAAAGCCGTCCCAAACGAAGCCTTAATGTTATTATTATAGTTGTTGTTGTTGTAGGTTTAAAACTTTTCTTTTATCTAATTTGGCATGCATAGGCACTATTACTACAATATCTTTGTAATAGTTAGTTTTATGACGGCGACTTTATTACTAACCATATCAACCTCATCAGTTATTTCATTCTTTACCCTTTCGATCATTCATTCCTAATGTACAATACTTTCTTAGATGTCTTTGGAATATTTTTCCTTTCATTAGTTTTTGACCAGCATATAATATTTGTTTCCTATGCCTACAGGCTGCTGCAATGTTTAAGGTATTGCATAAAGATCCACCAATACCTGAGACTTTGTCATCAGAGGGTAAAGATTTTCTGCAGCGTTGTTTCCGAAGGAACCCAGCAGAAAGGCCAACAGCAAATATGCTACTTGATCATCCCTTTATTCGGAACTCAAATCATTACAATCTCCATGGTTCCATTCATGCTTTTGCAGGAATCAAACTTAATGTAAGCCTCAGGTCACCAAAATTTATCTTATTGCTTTATGTTCCATGCCAAAAATTTCGTTTGGGACAGCTTTTTTATTGCTTCTTAAAGCAGCTTTCTAGTTCAAAATTTTTAATTATTATATTAGAAAGCTGCTTTAAGAAACAGTCAGAAAATCGTCCCAAACGAAGCCTAAATGTAAGAATTTTATTCATAAAACCTACATAACGTTCTCAGGAGATAACGTACAGCCCACGAGATAAACCTCGGGCAAAAAGCGAACCTTCGATGAAGGGAAGACACTCTACTAATGGGTTAGTATGCTTCATTAGTGATATGTTCAGCTCAGTCTTCTTTTCCTTGGCACTTCAGTTGAAAAAATTTATTATTTGATCAGAAGAATTTCTGAACCAGTCAAAAAAAAAGTTTCAGTTTTCTAACTCCATCTTATTCTTTCCCTAGTGAAACCAATCACTCCCATGCAGAAACTTCTGAACCCACAGCTTCCAGACTCCCACCACGTTCAGCGCCTGACGTTGCCCACAGTTTATTTCCACATTCGAATCATTCTTTGCCAGGCCCTTCAGGTTCTTCAATGAATGCCACAAATGGCTTTTTCGCAGGACCGTCAACAAATATCTTAAATGGCTTTCACTCTGCTGTGGGGAACCATCATTCTTCTGGCTCTGTAACAAATGGCACTTATTCTTCTGCAGGGAACTATCACCAGCTCTCCTCTCCAAATAACGTTAATGGTGGCATTCATTCAAGTACAACTACCCATCAACCCTATGCTCTACCAAAGCCCCATTTAAAAGATTTCAAAGAAGTTGGTACTTTTAAGGAGCAGAAGCCTTCAGATTTTTAGCTGAGGTTAGGGCTTCGTTTGGGACTGTTTTCTTCCTGCTTCTTAAAGCGGCTTTCTAGTACAAAATTTTAAATTTTTTAACTAAAAAGCCGCTTTAAGAAGCAATAAGAAAGCCGTCCCAAACGAAGCCTAGGTTCAGTTTTGCGCTAGTTTCTCCTCTTTACTATTTTTTTTCTCGTTCAACTTTTGAGGCAGGTGCTAGTTTCTATGACCACATGAATATAGAGGACTTGTACATTTTCACCCATGGTGCATCATAGGAATCAGTTTTTACATATGATTAGACCATCTTGACCAGAATTTTTCAAATATAAAATATTTTGTAAGTTGTATTACAGTGTAAATATTATTATGCATTTTGGCTTATTTCATTATCTTCTTTAGTTGTGTGTGATCTTTCTATTTATTTTCCTGGAGCAGCAGTTTGTTATTTTTGGTATTATCTATGTGACTTTCAGATTCTGTGATGTTACCTTATTCTGAAGAGGATGCTTGATATTATGCATTGAAGCTTACAAAGGATATTTTTATAGGACTTCTTGTTTGGCCTTTTTGGAGGAAAATTTTAGTAGTTTTGACTAATAATTGTATAGTAGCTTATTCTCCTTTGCAAGCAAAGTATCTGACATTGTTCTTATTGTTGGATTCAAATTTATATGTGGATGATATTTTGGCTATGTTAACAACCTCGACTATGAGATTGTGATGGTGAGCGCTTTAGACAAGCGGTGAGTCTCTTAGGGAAAGCAACTAGTTTTTAAAGTGAGTGTGGTCGTGAGTTGAGGACAAATATAGTGGAGCTAACTGTGGGCTTCATATGTATGTGTGCCTTTTATAGTTTAGATGAGGATATCTATAGGTGAATAGTCTTAGTTAGGCAGGACTATTGAGAGTTATTCCTTCTAGTGTGAGTGCCTCTTCAAGTGAAGTTTTGTTGAGGTGAGCCTCTTGTTGAAATTGTTCGGAATGTGTCTTCTATTAGATTCTCCTCGGGTGAGCTTTTTGTACTACAAACTCTATTAAGGTGAATGTCTTCCTATTCCAAACTTTATTTTGACAAATGCCCTTCAAGATATATAGCTTGTTTTAGGTGAGCGCCCATCTTGGTTGAGCACCTCAGAGGTAAACTTGTTTAGTACATGTGAGTTTAGTACATAGATGTCATTGGCATATATTTAGTTCTTCAATTTACTTACTCCTTTGAAAAGCAACTTGTGAAAGGAAAGGAAAAAAAAAAAGTTCGAAAGCATTTAATATCCTTCTTAATAATGAGAAAGTAAATAAAGCTTCATTGTTCAATTTTTTCTATTGCCTCAAAAAGAGTGTCTTTTTCAAGATTATCACAATTATGTGAACCTACCCCTTTGCCTATTCACAAAAACACTAATGTCGTTGTACCTTTTCCAATTCTCTTGGAGGCTATATTTGATCACATCTAAGCTTTAGAGGAAGAGCATGCATGTGTCAAGGTTGAGTTCAAGTAAGAGAAGAAGAGGGTGGAGGGCTTAGGGTGGGCTAATTACTTTGATTTGAGTAATTTGGTTTTAGCATTGTGTAGAGGCATGTGGGACTTTGGGGTCAAGGTAGAGGCATGTGGGACTTCAGGGTTAAGATCCAACTCCTCTGTTGCGAGTGACAAGTTTGTTGCATTGTGTAGGGGCATGCAAGATCTGAGGGTTAATGGACAAAGAGCAGCAGCAACTCGAGTGAATTATGATAGTTTGATGTAGTTAGCCAACATGGTTACACATGCTATGAGTGATTCTCATATTAGACATGTGGGACACAATGAGTTAGAAGGGGACATGCATCTAAAGATGTTCGATAAGTTGAAACTCCTATTATTCAAGGGGGGTTGTAGAGCCATTGATAGTAGAGGACTAGTTATTGAGGATAGAGAAGATATTTGACAACATGTAGTGCCTAGAGAGTTAAAAAGTACCACTTACAGTATTCCTATTTTAAAGCGAACTTGATAGATGATAGATTCGACAACAAATAGAGAAATTATAAAGAAAGATGAATGCAAAGATCACATGGATAGAAAAAAATAAAAGAAAATTAAAAATTAAAAACATTAAAAGAATTTTTTTTTTTTTAAAGATCACATGGATAAAGTTCTTAGTATTCCAATAATTTATAACAAAAAATTATAATATTTTATTGATTCATATAAAGAAAATCATCATATATCTAATTCATTTTTTTTTAAATAATCTTGAGGTGATTTCAAAGAGCAATTGCTATCAATATTCTTTGACTATCTAAAAAAATATATATATTCTTTGACTATATCTCATATTATGTTTTTCACCAATGAATAATATATCTTATACATTTATCAAAGATATCAAATCATCATCTATCATATGTTCATCCATCGAGCACAAGCAGTGAAAATCATAGGTAAAAATAAGTAAAAATTAAGTAAAATAAGGAAGAAGATTGTTGCTCTAGCCCATACTGAATAAACCAACTGAAGAAAACCATTAAGATCCCATGGATGCCTTATAATCTCAATTAAAATAGGCTTAATACATACTCATAAACTCAACCGGATGATTAAGTTGAAAGAGGATAGCAAAATAATCTTACTCTCACTATACACTCTTATAATAAGTCTCATATTTTAAAATCAAAAGCTCGCATTGATTTATTTTGATGGATTTATGAATCAAATCTATTTTTATTGATTTATTTTGTCCCTGGAAATATAGGGGATAATATTTTTCTAAGGTGAAAAGATTATAATAGTCCGTAATTTAACCCAAACAAATAAATTTTTTTAAGAGGCATTATAAGCTAAACCTAGGTGACCTTTCCAAGCATACCCTATCCTTCTTTCTTGGGGCTTCTACTCTCCTTTAAGTTATACCTAGAGGTTTCGACTTATCTAGAGAGATTAGTCTTGTTGCCCATATATTTGAACCTTGATCAAGACTATGTTAATCTTTAACATGGTAAGTTATCCTCTTTTATTTTTTGGCTGAGTTATATATCCGTTAAGTTAGAAAGTTTTTAAGAGATTTGTCACTTATTAGGGCTAAAATTTAACCAACTTTGGACTCTCGACAACCTAGGACAAGTTACTTTATTTTCCTTTGAGTGATTGAGTTCTCTTTTTAGATTTGAGAAAGTAAGGCAAGCTCCCATAGTGTACAATGAGATGGGGTGAGTTTCCCAAGTCATGATTTTATCATTATTTTTTATTATTCATTTATTACATAGATGAATCGCCAGATAGAATGGGACTTGGTTAAAAAAATGAAAATAGTTTATTAACCAATAGAAGATATAATATTTATATAATGACTTCTCATAGGGGTAAAAAATCTTCAATTCATTAGTATGTTTGTAATTGGTATGCTTGAAGGCTAATTTGCTTAATAATATATGGTGCTTCCTAGGTCAACCCAAGTCTTCTAGCATGGGATGGCAAGCTACTGCATTCACTATTCTTTGCATAATGTTGTGAAGGTGGAAAATATTATTCTTGACATTTGCATTATAGTACCTCATCATTCTCCTCTTTATCCATTCATGCTTCAATATTTTTTGAGCTTTAAGCTCAAGAAATAAATCTAACACAACTTCTATGCCTTCTTTATTTCTTTCTTCCAACTTGCTAATTTTTCTTCCTTGAAATTCATGACAGTGATCACTCAAAAACTATGTAGATCATACTCAATTGATAGTAGGGCCTCAATTCTATTGAAGAGTACAAATTATGTGTGTCCAATCAGTAAGGATTATGTATTTCTTAGTGCCCAAAGGACTGAAGGTAATGCTTCTATTCAATTTACTTTGGGTTTGGGTCCTTCCACCTTTATCATTAGAAGGTTCAAAATATGCTTGTTGTTGATTTGACTTGTCCATTAGGTTTGTGATGATGCACTAAAAAAAGTCCGAGGAAACATCCCTATGACTGACATATTTTCTTGACATTCTTATTGGAAAACTATGGCATATTATCAACAATAATTATGAGATAGGCCATACATGTATGTGATTTTAGACCAAAGGAAATTATTCATGACATTGGTAGTCATCTTTGCTAATTTCTTTCTCTTAATTTAGTTTAAGAAGTAGTCAACCATAATAAGGGTGAACATTCTTTGCCCATTAGAGGGGAGAAATGATCCAATGAGATCCATTCAATGTATAATAACCACAGGCTGATTGTTGGCTGGAGCTTATGGGAAGGTTGTAGCTACATTAGAGGATATTTTTTTATATATGAGGCATTTCTTTGAAAATTCTATAAGTCATTTGTAAGGTTCAACTAGATTACCCTTATATGAGGATCCTATGGTCATATGTTCTTCCTCCTAAGTGGCTCCCTCACTCGTCATAGTGCACTTGCTTGAATATTTTCTCTACTTCCCATTCTTTCACACACCTCAATTTTAATGAGGTTGCCAATCTTCTAAATAACTCATATGAAATTAGAAGATATTATGCAACTTTGATTTTGAATCTATTATCTTGGGCTAAATTTTCCTTGCCTTTCGATAATCCACATAAGTAGACCTGTCAAAAACGGGTCACGGGTCGGGTTCGGGTCTAACCCGAAATTGACCCGACACTGTTCAATCCGACCCGACCCGACCCGTTTTTGCAAACGGGTCGGTTTTCCGAACCCGAACCCGACCCGCTTCGAGTCCGGGTCAACCCGACCCGACCCGCTTCGGGTATATTTAATTAAATTTTTTTTATTTAATTCATTTTATTTAAATTTAAATCAAATTAAGGGTAGATTTACTTCAATTAATTTAAAATAAATCAAGATTAATTTAATTTGGGCAATAATATTTATAATTTTTTGAAATATTATTTACTTATTTCATAAAAATTCATTAAAATCCTCCAAAATTAATTAAAAACGGGTCAAACCGGGTCGATTTCAGGTTTCCGGGTCAACCCGAACCCGACCCGGTTTTACAAACGGGTCAAAATCTCTAACCCGAACCCGACCCGGTTCGGGTTCGGGTTCGGGTTGACCCGAACCCGAAATTTTCAGGCCGGGTTCGGGTCGGGTTTTCGGGTCGGGTCCAATATTGACAGGTCTACACATAAGGATCAATCATACTCACCAAGTAGTCCGCCTGGACCTATGGCAGCTCATCTTCTTTGATGTTTCCCTTGGTATTTCTATTATCCTGAAGTACTAGAATAAGTTTCTTTTCACTTTCAATTTGAAAATATATGTATTAAAACAATTGAAGTCCATGAGGAATTCGACTAATGCTTTAGCTTTGATGGCCTTTTAAGGAGTATAGGTGATTTGAAATTTTCTTAGATTAACCACTAGCGTGATAAACCTATCAGAATGCTCTAATTAAGTTAGCATGACTTTGAGGGGATGTTTAATGATAACATAAATTAAGTGGACATATAAGTAAGATCAGAGTCATCAAGGAAAGATTATTAGTGCCCATGCCAATTTTTTCCTGATTTGATATCCTAATTTTATACTCAATATTTTGCTCATATAGTAAATGGATCGTTTCCTTCTCCTTCTTATCTAACCAGAATTGAGATAATGACAAATTTTCCAACTCCTAGTTACAATAGTAGGTATTCTCCTAGTTGAGGGCTTTGTATTAATAGATGTGAGGATAAGTGAATTTTTAGTTGTTGGAAGGCTATCTCATACTCCTCACTGCATGTAAAGCACTTGGTACTTGTAAATATTTTGAAGAAGGGTGAGCATCTCTTGCCTAACTTTGAGATGAAGGGATTGAGTCTTTCAATTTTTCCTAATGTGTCACTATAAAACTCTCATAATTTTGGGTGACGACAATTTCAAGATCTATTTCCCTTTGTTGTGATTCACTTTTATCCTTTATTGGGTTAAGAGGAACCTATGAACTAGCCAAAATCTTCTCTTAAAGAAAGCCTCAGTTGATTGAGCCACATATTATACCATTGTAATGTAGCAAAAATTTCATTTAGGCCTTGAATGTGTTACTTCGATGACTTGCTCTTTACTAATAGATCTTCCACGTATTCTTAGGCATTTCTCCTATTCTAGTCTTCGAAACTCGATCCATTTTGTAGTAAGTTGTCATGTCATTTTTAGACTAAACATCACTTTGTAGTAGTAAAAATCTGCCTCATAACAAAGGATGCCTTTTCATAGTCATTGGGGAGCATCTTTATTTGATGGTAGCTAAAGAATGCGTCAAGAAAGCTAAGAACTAGAAATCCAACCATCGAGCCAACTAGTAAATCAATTATTGGGCTACTCAAGTCCATATTTGTGAAGTTCACACGCATCCTCTATTTTTCATTTTGCCTTCTACACCATCACTGCACATCACTAATGAAGTTGACACACATCCTCTATCAAAGATTCATGCTCGATAATGTACATCACTAATAAAGTAGGTGTTTAGGAGTTTTTATACTTCTTTCTTGATGAATTGGGTAGGATGATTGTAGTCTTCATTATTTTTTATTTGATAAACTTAGCTACCTTCTTGATTTTCAGCATATGACTAGACTGGAGAGTATTCATATCATTAGTCTTTGTTGTGGCTTTGGATGCCCCTGAAAGTACTTTATGTGAGTGCCTTGGGTGAGTACTTTGGACAAGTTTGTAAAGACAAGTTCCCAATGAACAATGCTCCTCTTAGAGCAATCAATGAATTTGCGCAATTGTAATCTTAGGATAAACTTAGTTGATAGTGCCCATGGGCTTCATATCTATGTGTGCCTTATGTAACTTGTACGAGAATATCTATTAAAAGTGAATATTCTTACATGGTAAGGATCGCTAAGAGATCCTAGTCCTCATAGAATGAGTTTCTCTTCGAGTGAAGGCTTGATGAGACGAGCTTCAGTTGAACTCACTCAAAACATGTCTCTTCGAAAGAGTTTTCCTAGGACGAACACCAATTATATGAGCTCCACTTGGATGAATGTCTGCCCATCCCAAATGTTACTTTGGTGAATGCCCCTCAGAGTGAGACTCATTTTGGTGAGTACTCCTGGCTGAGCTCTTTGGTGCTGAATTTATTTTGGTACCTATTAATTACATATATAGACTTTTATGATCATACACTTATAATAATTATCAAATGCTTATGTGAATGATTTTTAAAACTCTAGTAGCACATATTATAGTTTCTCTTGAAATCTTCTTGCTAAATTATCATAATAAGTACTAGCACAATCAAAATATTATGAAGATTTTATAGTACTTATATTTCCAAAATTTTGTTATTAGTATTTATATTTATAAAATATATTAAATTATTATTATTATTTTAATTTAAATTCTTATTCTTATGAAAGTAAATTATTATTATTATTATCTTAATTTAACTTTTTATTCTTATGAAAGAAACGATCATATTATAAGAAGTTCCATACAAATAACTGAAAAATGATAGATTTTTTCAAAATTATTTTTTAAACATAATTTTCGTTTCTATTTCTTCTCAGAAATAACTTTGCTAAAATAAATTTGAAAAACAAAGATTAAAAAATTAAAGTCAGCCGTCAAAAATGAATTGAATGGTTAGGATGTGGCAACTGGACAGGTGCAGTTTCAGTAGTAAATATAGAGAATTTGAACCTTTGAGTTAATAGGCATTAGATGCAGAGTTCTATATGCTTTACAATAAAAGAATTATATTCAAATTAATCTTCATCTTAATTTAATTAATTATAAAAAATAAAAAACAATGATATTTGAGCCTTTAAAAATATAAATTTATCAATATATTTTACCATTTAAAATCATTAGACACATGAAATATATAAAAATGAAAACTCATTTTAATTAGGGGTGTCAATTTTTGACACGACCCGAAACACGACACGAATCCGACCCGAAAAAATTCGGGTTCGGGTCAACCCGAACCCAAAACGGGTCGTGTTCGGGTTCAACAAATCAATCTATATTAAAAATCGAGTCGGGTTCACGTTGACCTAACAACCCGAAATTGACCCGAAAGTGACACGAAAACTCATATTTGACTCAAAAACCCGAGATTGACCCGTTTTTTATCCGAAAATCAATTTTTGACCAAAAAACTAGCAATTTTGGGTCAACCCCGAGTCATTCGTGTCGAGTCAGGTTGACCCGGATTCAAATCGGGTCGGATTCGAGTCCAGATACCTGACCCGTTTTTAAAAACGGGTCGGGTTCATATTGACCCGAATAATGTCGGATCAATTTCGGGTTCGACCCGAACCCGATCCATTGACCCGAATTGACACCCCTAATTTTAATTTCAAATCATTAAACGGTCCTTAAACTTTGAAATAATTTAATGATGTTAACAAAATGGATGATTTTAATCTTACATTAGAAGGTCGTAACATTACATTCTAATTGCGTGTGTGTGTAAATTTTTCATAACTTTTTATAGCACTAATATTTATTATGAACTTATGAGTGAATCACTTGGGCGAGTCTTCACTAATGAGTGTACTAGTCAAGTTCTTCGAAAAAGGACATGCAGGGCAGGTCAGTATGGGCGAGTCCTCGAAAAATGCAGACAAGTCCCAACTTTGACTTCAAGACATGAAGGGTGAGTCATATGAGGCGATGATAACCGCAAGCTGAGGACTATCCGAGTCCAGGAGGTTGTAGTTACAGACTCTAGAGATGTGCACTTCATGAATCTAGCTTGAAGTATATTAGTAAAACTTGGTAGCTTTGTCAATGAAAATGGCATGCTGAGATCGATCTTTGTCGAGATAAGCGTCTCTCTAGTGCTTGGAAGAATCTATACTAGTTCTCTGATATACTTGCATAGGATGACCCCTCAGTTAGATTGATTTGTCTAAGTCAATCTCCTACAGGTGAATGCCTTGGATGATGTGACTGCTTTCAATGAGTTATCTTGTTGAAATCTATTAGGTATCTATGAAACACCTATATGAACTTATATGAGTATACATTTAGTTCCCTGATTCACTTTTGCCTTTGTCAGAAAGAATAAGTGAATTCACGATGAGTATTTAATGGTTTTATCAAACAATAAAACCATAAGATTAGAGAGAGTCGCCTTAAATGGTTTGGTCACATAAAAAGGCGGCCTTCCGATGACCCGGTTAGGAGAGTAGAGGTATTAGATTTGACTTGTATTAAGAAAGATAGGGGTAGACCTAAAAAGACTTGGTTAGAAAATATTAGGAATGACCTTTCTTTATTAGATTTAAACGAGAATTTGACTTTTAATAGGACACAATGGAGAAAAAGGATTCATGTAGCCGACCCCACGTAGTGGGATAAAGGCTTGATGTTGTTGTTGTATCAAATAATAAAATGAAAGTAAATACAAGTACAATGTGCCGTGCCAATATTAGATTTTCTACTTTAACTAAAATTTTGAGAATAATTATTTTTTTACATCCTTACACTGCACTATGATGCACTCATTACAAATAAAAAATTAAAATAAAGAAAATATAAAGTCATTTATCCTTAAACATGGACCTTGTAAATTGGCTGGCGATATGTCGCATCAAAGATGAAGTAGAACTGTAATTTTAGATATGCCTGACGTGATATTCACTGTTTTTCTGAACTATGAACGGTCAGCAAATTAAGATAAGGAAATAATGAAGAACTATTACCATGTAAAAATGGCGTTTCAAGTGCTATCATCTGCTATCATCCTCGTCATTGATAAGGAACTCCTCTATCTGCTCCCTAAAATGAAGAAAATTAATGATAAATTAGATAAACAACATTCAATTTATTCACCCAAGGATTTTTTTTGGGAGATTTACATACATACCACCTTATACTACTCTATTTACATATTTTAACACTTGAAACTTTAATATTAATCAGAAATATCCTTGAAATGAAGAAAATTCTATAGCTCCGAACGCAGTTATACATCTGGATACCAACCAGAATGAGCCACGTCAGCGATACCGAGCCACGGTACCAAGCAGTACTGAGCCCCGGTACCCCAGTACTGAGAGTACCGAGCCGCGGGCTTAGGTATTCGGACGGGGTTCAGCTTCCGCACAGAATAATTTTTCCCCTAATCGAGTATTCTATAGTTTCCACAACTTGACAGAACAAAATCTTAAATTTTATGATCTTAGTTGAGAGGAGAATGAAAATGGAATGGGAACAAAACTTTTGTAGTAGAAAAGGCAGCTAATCTAAATTAATAAAGCATTTATGAGGAAGGAAAATGTTAAACATAAAATGTAATAGGGCATATTTCTGACTTCTCACCTTAACCATCTTTGATCAGCACATCCTTGATTCTTCATCCTATTTGTTATTGACAAAGGTAAAAGCGAATAGAACTTTTCAAGAGAACTTGTGTCTTTTGGGAGTATCTGAAAACGACAGCTTTGACAACATTGTGAAGCAAACATTTCAATACTAGTTTGGTACATTCCTTGAGTTTCTTTGAGATGCTTCCATTCTGAATCACTTAGCGGGCTCCCACAGATTGGGCAGAGAAATTCAGGTTTTGATTCTTCGTGATTAACATTTTGAAACTTGGGGCGAATAATGGATGGTAGAAAATCATAATACCCATCTTGAGTAAATTTGTTAAAGGAGAACACCTTCAGCTTCTCTCCAGTTCTTACTATAGTTCGCTCTCGAGAAGGATTTTCTTCCTGCAAATTGAAGGGTGTTTTCCTTTTAAGTGGTGGTGTAAGTGAATGAGAAATGCCAAAAGTTCAGCTATCTTAGCCTTTGTTTGGAACGGCTTTTTCATTGCTTCTTAAAGCCGCTTTTTAGTACAAAAATTAAAAATTTTGTACTAAAAGCTGTTTTAAGAAGCAATCTCAAACGAAACCTTAGACTTCAAAACTAAAGATAAAGATCTGTGCTTTCAATCAAACCTTTTATATCGCATTAAATCAAAGGTCTTAATACCTGTAGGCGTGCAACAAATGATGATACCAGGCCATTGATTCCGACAGGACCGTTGAATAGCTGTGTAGTCTTCAAACTATCTAATCAGTTAGAATGTGCCAATAGAAAGTAAAATTGGGAGATATAAGTAGGAAATCCTACCCATCCAGATGACAAAGCATGGCAAGCTCTTGCGCAAGGCAATCACGAAGAGGAAGCACTACAGGTACTTCCCACCTTGAATCAACATATTGCAAGTTGGCAGGTAAAGAGAAACCTTGACCCTGAGAAAAAATACCATATAATCCTCCAAAAAATATCTATTATTTATAACAAAACAGCATTGCATTACTAGACCTGGTTAATTACGGAAATTTCTTCAGTTACCTTAAACAAAAATATATAGTTAGCCTGAAGCTGGTAGACACTAGCATGGGCGGATCCCCCATGTGCTCAGGGTGGGAAAAAAAATTAAATATTTAGAGGAAAATTTTTAGAATATTTTGAATATTTTGGGTATTTTTCCTCCCATAAAAAATCTTTATTGTCTTAATTTTATCAATCCTAAACGTCTTTTTCCATCCCCACAAAAAAGAAAAAAATTGTCCACTTTGAAAAAAGAAACTGGATCCGCCCCTGGACACTAGCAAACCTTAACGGTGGCAGATATTATCAAGCGTGCCATCTTTGAAGCACAGGATCCAAGCAATAGTTTTGTGTAATTGTTATCCAAAGCAATCTGTAGGCACATTGGAAAGATCAATGACTATTGACTACCAGTATCGTAAATGTGGATGTTAAGAAATTGAGAATAAACCTTCTGCAAAGAAAGCATGCGCAGATATTGTGTGAAATCTTCTTTCCCAGTTGCATCTGTAATACTATCCAACAACTCATTCAAACAACTCCTTCCATCATCAAAATTCTTGCAAAATAACCCTTCCATAGATGTCACATGCAACTCTTTCTGAGCAGGAGCTAATTCAGATACAACGCTATTTATTTCTTCAATTATGTTGGACATTCCAATTGATGGATTAAGACCAACTGCGCTTTCATCGACAAAAGCAACCCCTACGGCAAATACTGGTAAGCCTTGAGATTTACTTGCATCCCAGTTCTTCAAAGATTTACATTGTAGCTCATGAATAAACTGTAGAGCAACTCTGTAGCAACAAGGAATGAAATTTAGCAACATAACTTATAATAAGTCAACTTTAAGAACTTAACCCTGTTACCAAGAATCAAAACTTTAAAAGTTACCATAACATAGACATGTTAGCAGCAACACAAAAATACATGCTATTTTCAGCACTTCTCAAATAGAACTTTGTTAGTACTTTTTTAAAGGAATTGGTCCAAAGCCCTACAACTTATTAAATTTGAGTTTAGCCAAAAAAACGTCAGACAGCTACACAAGGAAATCAACCAAATATGTTTAATATTGTGGATAAAAAAAATGCACATAAGAAGAGAAGTTCATGTATAAGAGAAGTTTACAGCAGCTATATGAGATATATTGGTGCAAAGCCTATAGGATCTTTATGATGAAACCAACAACTTGATTGGCATCCCCTTAGGGCTATGATGGGAGGGTTAATTAGGTGGTGGTAAAATGGGAATTCAGATTTAGGACAAATTTGGAGCTGAAACTTCAAGGTTATCAAAAAACAACCCTTTCTTGTAGAAAAATAATGAAAAACACCAAATAAAAATTTTGAGATATTAGGGAACTACTGGTGGTGTTTTAATGAGTTATGAATTAGTAGTTAAGGAGTTATAATATTTTAATTTAGTTGCTCACAACATTAAATTGTCTCTCTACATTGAATTTTTGGCAATGATATATTAAAATTATTGCAAGTTAAAGCCTTGAAAGGTTAGAAGGGATGTGAATGAATATTTGAAAGAGTTTAGAAGAGGTTGAATGGGTTTTGGGGTTGAGAAACGCTAGGCTTGAGACTACATAGAGGAGATGAAATTTGTGTCGAAAAAGATGAGCAAAAGTAAGAATGGTAACTAAGGACTCACCAAAGCCCTAGGGGATCAGCCACCAAGCTTCACCAAAGAGTAGAACAACCACCAAGCCTTTCAAATGAAATTTACACAAGAAAAACTAATTTTTATTCAATGCAACAAAAAGTACAAAGCAAAGTCCTATTTATAGGTCTTTTTCGTGTCTAAACAACTTTATAAAGCCTTAAGAGCTAATAAAATGCTATTATATAAATCAATGATTTATCCTAATATAAAATAAAAGAAAATAAATTAAATTAAAATGAAGTCAAGCTAGTTAAGATGATGAAGAATCATGCATGAAAGCTACATAAGGAAAAACATCCCCAAATTCATCATCGCCATCATCACCAAAATGCTTAGCTGTACCTACATATTTGTCGTAAGTTACTTCCCTACTATTCTCCTCCAAAAAAGCCATGAAATTCAGGTAAACGAGTTTGATTGAAAGAAAAATGTGTGCCTGCAAGTAAGCTTTGATGCTAGTTGACATGCAACTAAGTTATGTCCTTAAAATTTGAAATGCCAAAAACAACCACTGACTCAAGTACCAACAAGTAGATGAGTACATAAATTGCAATGACATTGCATTTACTAAGGACCAAACCATGTAATATTTGCATTAGCAGTAGAAGCAAATAGTATTAGCATACAAACTGAAGAAATAACCATTAGAGCATAGAGTTTTCAAGGCCTTGAAGAAGGTTACTGGATGTCTGGTTGATAAAGAGAAAGATTGGTCCAAAATTAAAATTTTGACTATGCACAATAGCATAATATAGAGATTTTGATTTTAATTGAAAAGCGTATTTGCCTAATTGATATGCTAAATTTAATTTGAATTTATCTCATATAATACTACAAAATATATCCCATTACGACCACAAAGGGATTAAATTAAATCGAATTTATTATATTGTTTTCGCTGATTTAATTCAGAGTTAACACAAATTGTATTATACAATCATACACCCTATGGTTTAATTGGTTCTAAAAAAAATATCGAAATGGTCCCTGAACTATTGGTATAAGGCTAGTTTAGTCTCAGTTATCTAATATATTTAATTTGGTCCATTAATTTCTCAAATATGATCCAATCTAGTTGCTCTATTGGATTATGTTAGATCAAATTTGAGGAGTTAAAGAGACTTTTTGGATCAAAGTTAAATAGTCAAGGAACTACTTTGGACATATTAGATAATATGAGACTAAAATAATATAATATAGAGATTTTGATTTTAATTTAAACGTATTTGCTCAATGATATGCTAGATTTAATTTGAATTTAGCTCATACAATATTGCACAATATATCCCAGTATGATCCAAGAATGGATCAAATTAAATCAATTTTTTTTTGTTTTTTTGTTGATTTAATTCAGATTTAATGCAAATTGTATTGTATGATCATACAGCATATAGTATAATTAGTAATAAAAATATATATTAAAATGGTTCATGGACTATTTGTATGAGGATAATTTAGTCTCAGCTATCTAATATATTTAATTTGGTCCATTGATTTCTCAAATATGACACAAACTAGTTGTTCTATTTGATTATTTTAGATCAAATTTGAGGAGTTAAAAATTATTTTGGATCAAAGTTGAATAGTCAAGGAACTAATTTGGACATATTAGATAATCTGAGACTAAAAGAGCATAATATAGGGAATTTGAATTTAATTGAAATGTATTTGCTTAATTGATATGCTAAATTTAATTTGAATTTAGCTCATACAATATTACACAATATAATCCCAATACGATCCACAAATGGATCAAATTAAATTGAATTTAATTGATTATTTTGGTTGGTTCAATTCAAACTTAACACATACGATCATTGATCATATGATATAATTAGTTATAAAAAAATATTAAATTGGTTCTTGGACTATTTGTATGAATGATCCAAACTGGTCATTTTATTGGCGCCGGTGCAGCGGCCCTTGCACACTTGTCACTGTATTCAGGCCATACAGCGCGTCGCTTCCAGGGGACGCCCTAGCATTAACACAATTTCTTAAAGGATTCATGTCATTATTGTTTGACAAGTTTTACGCTGGCTGTCGACTACCTAACGCAACCCTCCACTTTTCTCATCCAGGACTTGGGACCTGGCAACGGCAGTGTTAAAAAAATATTAAATTGGTTCTTGGACTATTTGTATGGAGGCTACTGTAGATCTAATGTGTTTAATTTGGTCTATTGATTTCACAAATATAATCCAAACTGGTCATTTTATTATGTTATTTTAGATAAAATTTGAGTAGTTAGGAGACTATTTTGGATCAAAATTGCATAATCAAGAAACTAATTTGGACATATTAGACATCTGAGACAAAAATGTGGAGTTAGTTATAACTTTTTATCCCATATAGTGGGATAAAGAGTTAGTTGTTGAGTTTTAGTTATAAATTTTAAATTGATTAATCCTTCAATTAAATTTATTCAGAATTTTTTTTATATTTTAGTGTTTGGAAGTTATTCTAAACTTCATAAACACTTTCGATAAAGTAATTTATAACTCAAAAAATAAATAAATGATTTTCATAATGTTTGATGATCTTGATACAGTTGAGCTTATTTGACTAGCTTCATTTAAGTCATAATTAATTTGAGTGTGCTTAATACATATATTTGCTTGAAGCCCGTGTGAAATTGAATTAGCTTGTACCCGTGCCAATCTTAAGTAGAGTTATTAGCATTAATCAAATTATATTTGTGATAATCAAAATTGTGATTAAAACTTAAGCTTATATGGCTAAATAGTATTGTAGAATGTTTTTTATAATATAATAATAAAGCATACAGCGATAAACAGACTTTGTGGGGTAGTAATAGGTACAAAAGAATTTTTAAGGAATAGAAATGCACGTTTAAAAGGTGGCAAAAGTAAATATGCTAAAACTCATAATGATTATAAGAAAAATAGAATTCTAATATAAAAGCTACAGTTATTGATGATTTATATAATAGGCTGTAACTTCTACTATTTTTAATAATAGATCAAAAGTAAGGAATGAGAAAATGAGATACATAGAATAGTTGAGCAAAAAATAAGAGACAGGAATTTTGATTAAGTTCGATGGTTAAATAAAATAATATGATCATGATTAAAGATGAAGAGATCAAGGAAAAATAAAAATATCACTGAAAAAAAAAATAAATGAAAATGTTTATGGATAAAACTATTTTTGAAGAGAATGAAGTACATTATAGAATGATCCAAAAAAGTGAAGTAGAATCAAACTAAAAAAAGATGTATAACAATAAGGCGTTACGTCTAAATGAAATACATATTGAGATTTCAAGAATTATGGGAGATATTAAAATAATTAGGTTAATGAATCTTTCAATAGAATTTCAAATACTAAAAAAATGTCAAATAATAGGAGAAGAAGCATTGTTTTGTAAGGGAATATAAGCATAGAAACATTACATCAATTTCAAAGAACTTATTTGATTTCATACCATAAAGATCCATCATAAAATTGATTTTTTTTTGGTGTTAAGATAAATAATGGAGAAGACTAGAAAATAAAGAGAAGATATTTATGTGAATTTTATTGTTCTTGAAAAAGAATATAATCACATATAATGAGAATTGATTTGTAAACATTATGAAAGCAAGGGGTAATGTCAAATAGATGCTGATGTTATTAAAGATATATACGATGTAATGTTGACTAATATATAAGCAATTGTAGAAGCACCAAAGATAATTAATTATCAAATGTTTGCATCACACCTCAGAATTAAGTTCATGTTATTTTTTATTAATTATAACTTATACACATGCCTACAAAATATATTCAAAGTGAGTTTTTTATTTTATTTTATGCTTTTTTAAGATAATATGCCAATGGAGTTTAGGCCGGTGTTGTAAGAGTACTCCATCCAAGGCATAATCTTTGCTTGGAAAAGAGCTGAGGCTAGAAAAAAATTAGGAAAACTCTTGGAGTTAAAGGGGTGTATGTAGATAAGATTTAGAGTTGATCTCGATTTTTGAAGGGGTTTTGATGGATCAAATGCATCTGGAATAAGATTAGAACTTATTTGGGTAAAGTTTAGCCGAACACTTTAAGATGTCTTTTAAGTTAGGGTTTTGTGTAGAAAAAATTGTGGAACTTAGTGGAAAGATAAAGGGATGGTAGAAAAAGATCCCAAAGAAAGAAATGAGAAAAATAGCAAGTATAATAGAGAAACTACCACTCACTAAAGAAATATGTTGAGGAAGACTAGCAAGTCTCCTTTTTGCATGAATAGCCACCGAGTCTCAACATCTTTAGAAGGACTCCAAATTTTAGTTTCAATTAGCAATAATCCTGATTCATCCACCAAAATAACACATAACTATGTTCCTTATAAGACTCTAAATAATGAAATAGAAAAGAAACTAAAAGGACGGAGAAAGAGTGGTTCATCCAAGTCCCTAGAGAAGACCTCAATGTCTTCGCGTGGATGGTAGCTGAGATGTCTGGTATTGATGAAGAAGTCGCCTACCATAGACTCAATGTGAGGAGGTATGTTAGACCCATTAAACTAAAGATTAGGAAGACTGCACTCATGCTTACACAACACTACAAAGGTACAACATGCGATTTAATATGCTAAAGTGTACCAAGTGTAGCTTTAGTGTAGGCTCAGTAAATTTCAAGACTTCCTCCTCACACTTAAAGGCATCAAAGTTAAACCAAACAAGATAAAAGCCTTTTTGAATATGCCATCAGCTTGGATCGTCGATGAAGTGTAGCAACTCATTAGTGAGTCACAGGGCTAAATTGATTCATATCCAAGCTAGGTAAAAGGTGCTCGCCCTTCTTCAAAGTGTCGAGGAACACTAAGAAGTTTGTCTGAAGTGAGTAATGTGAGTCTGCCTTTCAACAACTCAAGCTCCTCTATTCGTTGACTCTACTTCAAAGTCTAAGATTAAGTGTGGATTTATTGTTTTACCTAGGAGTATGTGAGGACGCAATCATCTTTGCACTCATCTAGGAAGAAGAAAAGAAAAAAAGGACATCCTATTATATTAGCAAGACCATAAGGGGAGCAGAGTGAATATATTCCATTATAGAGAAATTCACATGGCCCCTGTTAGCCTCAACTCGACGACTGTGATCTTATTTCTTAATCGGCAACTAAGATCTTATCTCTTTACTGGAGGATGGGCGATGGGCCAGTTGATCCCTGGATTATATGAGGACCCACATCAGCACCTTTCTCTATACTCGTAGAGGTCCACTTGTCTTTTTCCCGATTCTCTCGCCCGTGGAAAGGCAAAGTGCCACCCTCATAAGCATTACACTTAACTTCATAAGCTCGACAAGATCATCTTATCTCATACATAACACGTTGTGGTTCAACTAAAAGGTTAAAGGTGTAAGGGCCTCAAGCATGAGATCGCCTCTTATAGGAGCAGGATATAAGTGGTAAGACACCACCATCATCATGAGGAATCTACATGACAATCGAGGCTACAATAAAAATCAAACAATAAATTTGCATTGACTTTCCTTTTAACCATTCAATAGCCATAATAAATGTTCGTTATTAATTTACTTGTCTTTTTCATTGCTCGCCCTCCAAAAAGCTAAGTGAATCAAGGAACAAAATGTGCACTTGCATATATCTTCACAGTTATATAACAAGTAGCTAACAAATTATAATAGGAGAGCTCATATCTCACAGATCTCAGCAAGAAGACTCTCCTAGGGGCCATCAACCCCAATTCAGCAAAATAATAAAAAAGGAGTCACTTCTCAAAGAAATGACAATGGTTCCGACGAACCATTCAGGTTAAGATTTGCCTTCCAACGAGAAGCATGCCCTCATAGCTACTCATCTTCACTCAGGCAGAGGGTTATCAACAAAATCTATCATCCAAACTATAAGTAAGGATCCCTCTGATAAGATGCAAGCTCACCTCGCCATACTCAATTGGCCATGGAGTCCAACTATCCCTGCGACTTAAGCAGACAAGCCCTTCATATTAAAGCAGTCCAAGGACTCCATTTAAGAGGTCACCAATGCCTCCAAAGGACTCCATTTAGGGTCTATTAGAACATGACACTTGTCCTAAGCACTTAGTACTAGAAGTTATTTATTATTGTGCCAATATAAGTTTTTTATTATTTTTGATGTAGCCTTCTTCATACTCATTGGATCCCTACAAATAAATGATAAAGATGCACATTTTAGATCTATTGGCATTTTCTAAAGGGATTTTGGAGCAAGTGATATTTTTCCCCCAAATTTTCTTCTTTTCTTTTCCAAATTACCACAGGTTCTCAAGTCCTAACCTTCGTAGCTTATCTGCTAGTGAGGTTGAGTATCACCCATAGAAAAATTTGAATACAAAACATTGCCCAGCATGTTTGTGATTTACGATCTAAGCAACAATAAAATAAAATAAAAATTGATCTAATTTTCAAGCTGATCCTCCATCTTCAACTCAAATCTACAGCCGTTAAAAAAACCCCTTAAACAATTTGAATCAAGGATTAAAAAACAATAAGCAGGAGAAGAGGAAGCGAGACCTGGAGGCGGAGCCACCGGAGAAGGCGACGAGAACTTTATCGCTTGGGGAGATCATGGCATTCGAGGTGACAGCGAGCTTAAACTTGCCAAAAAGGGAGGAACGAAAGCAAGCCAAGCAGAGGCTGTTCCAAGCCGGCTTCTCCTCCCCACACTTAGAGCACAGCGATTGATCCACCTTGGAACCAGGCTCATCTCGACCGTCCTTTGTTGATACGGACGGTGGCGGAGGCTGGAGTTCGTCGTCTTTGGTTCGGCGGCAGAGAGATTGGCACGTTCCGCCGCCGCTGCCACCGCACGACATTCTCACTTTGGGCGGAATTAAAACGGTGTCCGACTGCCCATGAGAGCCGATTCAGGGGCGTCAAAATCGTTTTTTTGTCGGGTTGGTTACAATCCGATTATGAACCGTCATGACCGGACCCGAATGGCCGAATCGGACCCTATTCTAAAAACTGGTCAGAAATTTGATCACGGGTCCGCTACACCCCAAACCCGAGTCGACCCGACCTGACACGCTCCAGGCGTTGAGCAGGCAAGCGATGGGGCGAGACTGGTGGTGTGCACGGCCGGCGCCAAAGAGGCCAGCATGCAACTCTTTGTAATCTTATGTACCAGTGGAGTTACTCCAAACTTTTCACATATATGCTTGTTTCATATTTTGTCTCTAATAGTAAAGTTACTCATCCACCTGAGCTTCCTCATTCTACAACACTTAATTTTATGATTGTCTTTTAATGACCAATACTTTGTTTCACCATCATCTTATAGAATTTTTCTTTAAATTTGAGGGGTATTTTTCTGTCACATAACAAGACTGATGCATTACTCTACTTCCTCTACTTCATCCAATTTTAATTCTACTAATATATCATTATCTATTTCCCCACTACTTTAAACAATAGATGAAATATATCTAAAATGTGTACGCTTATTAATGACTTGATCGCCTAGAGTCACAATCCCCCTCCAGGAAATCTATTACTAATAAAATTATACTTCATATATTCAGTTTTATATCTACTCAAACAAAAAGCTTCAGACTCTAAAGTTGGCCTTCATAATTCAAGTTTTCCATCATATCTCTAATCTTATCAATAAAAAGAATATCATTAACAAAAAGCATACACCAGGATAAACTATCTTGTAAATGTCCAGTAAGAACATCCACGATCACAGAAAGTCTAATTAAAAAAATAAACTAAATCATTTTTTACGTTTTTGCTCCTTCAAAATTTTAATCTTAGTTGCGCTCCAACTGCTTAATTAGTTGCTAATTATGCTTTATAAAAACTCATCTAATTAAACACATTTTTTAATTCATTGTAATGGTTGATGAATGAATAAACATATTTTAGAATTTGTCAAAATGCCTAATGGTAGGTAATATGAAATCTTACTAAGTAAAAATGCATATTTTTTCAAACAAAATAACCAAATTACTATAGATCATATGAAATACTATTTTAAGACTTTAATTGTATTATAATATTTTTTTTTAGATAATCATTTATTAAATATTATAAACTACAAAATTTTTCATATGAAAATTCTAAAAAAAAAATTCAAAATGTTTAAAATCTCGATCATTATATCATATAAAAAGTTACACGGCGAAAGCTTTATTAGTAAAAAAAATTTTCACATTTTTGTAACAAAATTTTAGATTTAATCAAAACATTTAGAAAACTTTCTATTTTTAAAAATCAATAAAGACAAAATATGTTCTACTTCGATCTAGATAATATTGAGAACTGGGCCAATTGTAGAGGTCAATATTTGAGCCGAACAGAAACCTAACGTGAAAAATTTAGGATTTGGGTTAACCTGTCTGCCATATGAGTTGGGTTTGAGTTGATATGGAAACTCAAAATCAACCTGAATGACCAAGAAACCTGACTAGAAAACTTCTCCTAAGCTCCCGCTTACCCGTAGCACTCCCACCACGCACATGCTTACCTTTGACCTGCACCCAGACCCATGCCTGCACAACGTGTAGGCCGCACTTGGCGCTCTTCCGCACCCCTCGCAAGTCTCACTTCGCACACCCCACGCAGGCTAACTCCCGTACCACGCACTCGCTTGAGCTGGATTCATTCTACGTTTACTAGTCAGGTCGGGTGTAATAACCCATATTTTGACTACCAAATATTATATTTTGAAGTCAATATAAGTCTAAATCACAACCCGTCTTCACTGTAGCATTGATATTGTAGTATTTTAATAACATAATATTTTCGTAATTTTTGGACATGGACATTAGTGAAAATCCTTAAGAAATATATCGATACAAGTGGGGATTTTGAGATCGATAGGTGTTCTTTTTGAAAACTGATTTCACCAATATTTTTTAAATAAAATGGTTTATTTTATGGATATTCTTCAATAATTTGTAAAGCCCAAAATAATTATATGAATTTTATATGAAAAAAAATGATTAAATTAAATAATTATATTATATTATATTAAAATATGTTAATGCATTATTTAAGAATCTATTTTCCCTTAATAATTTGGCAACATAGAGCATTTTGAGAAAATGAGAGAAAAGAGAGGATAAAGAAAAGAAAAGCTTGGATTTAGAGGTTGTGCAATGATTTTAGTCAGTCAAGCCAGTCAGAAAATTTACTCATCTCACTGTAAAGAAACATTGTTTTATTTTTTTTATTTCAAAGATTTTTTATTTTTGATATTTTTATAATCAAATTTGTATTTTCGTTATTAAAAAATAATGATAATTTTGTATTAGTAAAGCTTTCACCGAGTAACTTTTAATATATTATAGAGACTGAGATTTATGAAAAATATCAGTATTTATTAGAGATTTTTCACCAGATGATTTTGAAAATAAAATTATTTTTGCTTTCTCGGAAATTTATTTTGACATATAAAAATAGTGATTTAGGTCAACCAAAGCTTAAGAATATTATTTTATGCAATATTTGATAATTTTGTTAAATTCTAAAAATATAAATTTTTGCTTAGTATGATTTTGTTGTCTACCGTTATGACATTTTGACACTTTGTGAATTAAGCTCAATATATGTTTTATTTACTGCAATACATTGAATACATTGAAAATGAATGTGTATATGTGATTGAGAAACAACTAGTCATTATTACTATTATAATAATGTGATAATAATGTGTATGTGTAAAAGACAAGTAAATATTATTTGACTAATGGTTAGAGACTGATTGACCTTTACAGGATAGTGAGCCTACAAGTTTTTCTTTAAATAATATGCTTTGATGTTATCATCTATTGATTCACGTGAAACTCTAATTGAAAGTTATAAGGAGATGATTACTGTGCCGATGGGCAAAAGGGTAACGAGTCAATTTACTGAGCTAGCGATTACTAATACTGACACCGATATTGAAAAATATTGTGATAGCTATAATTCTTACTTGTTTAGTGTGACTATTGAAATCAATATTATTTAAACATTATTCATATTACTGTAAAGATTTATTATTGACACTATTATTGATTTATTGATACAAAAAGAATGATATATTCAATGAGCACATGACATATAAGATATATTGAGCATGTGATTAAGATATTGATTTAATATTGACATGAAATATATTGATAGCATGTGTACACTCCAATATAATTTACTATATTGATTTGATTTCGACAGTCTTTATTAATAATTTTATTTTATCTCTTTATACGATTTTTTTATTAATTGTAGTATTGATATGACGATAGCTTTAGTAATTTAACACTCATACTTATTTATATATTTCATACAAAACAATTTGATTTTTTTTGTACTAATTCAATGATCATATGAATGCAATTGTTATGATTTGATTGTTGACATGCATATTGCTCATTTGCAATACTTTGAATTCAGTTATAGATTTTGGTGACTTGTGGACTTTTTAGCTTATTATATGTGGTTAAATAATTCAGATCAGGGTAGAGAATCAAGAGTGTGAGGCTGGTTAGGATTCCTTTAGGTTTAGGTTCTTTTTATTTTAACAATTCTTTTGTACTCAAGACTTGATAAATATGTGATTAATTATTTGTATAGATCCTAAGTATTTCATGTGATTTTTGGGATTGAATATATATGTATATATAAATGTTTTGAATTCTAAAATTATTATTTTTGTTTATTTTTTATAAATAAAATTAGATAGCTTTGGTTATAGTTTATTAAAAGATTAATTGAATAATTCTTTTAATTTAGATTATGAGGCATCACATCAGGTCAACTCGGTAACCTGACAGGTCGTGCTTGGGTTTGAATTTTTTACTCATTTATAAAATCGGGTCAAGATGTGGTCAACCCATTTGAACTTAGGTCAATTTCAAGTTTGACCAAAATCCAACCCCAAAACTCATTTTTACACACCTACCCGATAATAAATACCGGATCAAAGTGGCTCAAATTTTCTTTTTTCTCTCTAAAAATTCCTCTTTTTCTCTCACTAACTGATTGCACAAATGAAACGAGTGGAATGAATAATAAAAAAAGATATATTTTTAAGTGTAGAATTTGGATAAATGCTTAGGCCCCACTATTCGATTGAGTTACTAATTCATTTTTTTTTTAAATTCAAAGTGTCAGGGCGCTAGAAAGCACGACATTAGGGCACTCTAAAAAAAATTCCAAATTTTACAAATAAGCATTTAAACCCCTAGAACTCACTTCAGAACACATGTAGAACTTTTTCATATATACGTATTATTTCTAAACTTATGCAAAAAAGTTTAAAATACAAAATTTAATACATTACGTGACCTCTGATATGGTTAGACAAGTTTGAATGGCACTCTGATCTTAGAGGTGTCACATGTCTTTTATATGAAATTCAAAATTTATATGGTGGCTAATATAAATGATTCCAGCATGAAAGTGGTACCAAATAAGGGTTCAAGGCCTAAGGTATGCGATGTGTTTAAAAAAAGAAAAAGGGAATGCGGTGTGTTTGGGCTTTTGGCTTATATATCCTTTCTACTGAAAGAAAGCTCAAACCACTTGTATAGAAAACTAGGGAGGAATGTGAATCTATCCATTTAACAACCAATTTGAGAGGAATTCCACAGCATTATCATCATTAGCCTTATGCCAATTATTTATGGTTTATATTATAATCATTATTTTTCATTTGTTCCTAACGGTGCTCTAAGAAGTGTTAAATTTATGCTTTGCAAATCATTTTGAACTTCCATACCTCATATTGAATTCAAATTTGTTCATGATTGACACCACGACTTCACTAACAAAAGCATGATAAGTTTAAAAGAGAAAGGAGAATTTAGATTACAAAGCTTTGAGATTTCACTAAATTGTCAAAATTGTAAGACTTTTGCAAATGATGGGATCTGCCTCACCCTCTAAATCTCTATTTATAGATTTGGTTTGAGATTTAATGTTGTAGGAAATATTACATTTGAGTAAAACTAGATTAACTAGTAAAAATGTAAAATTATATAGTAGGGCTTAAGTAGGGCTTAACTGGTGCTTGTTCTAAAAGGAATGAACATAGCTAGTTTCTATTTGATCACTTAGGATACAAATTTTGATTTCTACAGACGAGTTCATGTGAACTTGCCTACCAACTTGACTAAGGCTTGCTAAGTTCTAGAGAGTGGCTTTTGAGACCTCGGGCTAATAGCTATGGCAAGTTAGGCAAAAAGCATTAGCGAGTGTGCTAATAATACTGGTTAAACTAAATAAATTTGGCAACTTGAACTTGTTAGTGATATAAATATCCCTTGGCTACTTGAACTTGAGTACTCGACGTAGTAAGATGGGCCAATTTGCATCAAATCGCCTATTTGGGTGTACACTTCCGACGCTAATCTTATCAAAAAACATAATGAATGCATTTTCTAAAAGGGATTTTTACATACATAACACTTAAAACAAGCCTACTTACATATCTAACACCTAAACTTTCCTATTTACATATACACCACTTAAAAACCCTAACTCTCATCAAACGTACCACTCCGTTCCACTCTCGTTAAAAGAAACCGCGACCGTCGCTCGAGCTTCTCACAACGCCTTTACCTCCTCTTCCTCGCGCTCCATCGGCTCGTCGTTCCGTTCCGACAGGTATGATGTTCTTCATTTTGCTATGCCGTTTTGGTGTATTAACCCTAAACGCCTTTACCTCCTCTTCCTCTCGCTAGATCGGCTCGTTAATCTGTTCCGACAGGTATGTTCTTCTCCATCTTGCTATGCGATTTTGGTGTTCGAACATTTTCTTTTGCTCGTTATTACTCCTTAAAGCTTGGTTCTTCGCCGAATCTTTGTCAAAGCCCGAACTTGTTCAAGCTTGGTTCTTCGTCGAATATTTGTTCAAGCTTGGTTCTTGGCTTCAATTTCCTGCTTTAATCTTCTCCATCTTGATATGCTTTAGTTTCTTGCGAAATTTTATACATTGAACTGAAGGTTGTTTGATTAAATTCATTTCAGTTTATTTGTATGATTCCTTTATTGACATCTTATGTTACTTTTATTTGATATTCTGTTTTGGTGAATTTTTTTTTCTGTTACTTTGAGTAAATTTTGATCTGCGATATGAGTTCAAGCCGGTCAACACAATCCAATCTACTGTCGTTGCAATATGCAATGTCAAATCTATACTTGCTACAAAGCTAATAATCGCGGCAGAAAGTTCTATCGATGTCCCCGGAATAGATCGGAAGATGATTGTCACTCTTTTCGAAGGATTGACGAAGAGAATTGTGAAGTAGAAGATGTCAATCACTTTAGGAGCACAAAAGCATCAGACTTTCACTTGAAACATGCGGGCACAGTGATATCAGAGTTGATTCAAATTAAATTCTTATTGGTTATCATAATTTTACTTGTTGCTGTTGCCATCCATTCTATGTCCCGTGTACCAGATCTGTTTGATCAATGTACCAACTTTTGATGAATGTAAAAACGTTTGTTTAATGCAATATCTGTTCTTCAGTTGAAATGAGATATTTGTGTTCTTTTCCTGTTTACTTCTAAGAATGAGTTGAATGCAATATATGTTTGTTTTTCTAAAGAAATTGCTTTTTCTGTTCTTCAATTGAAATGCAACAATATATGGGAAAACAAAAATCGTTTTTCCTGTTTAATTCTAAGAATGAGTATAAGCTCAGTTGAAATGGAACAATGTAGTATAAGCTCATTACAGTTTTGTTTAGATCTCAATTTGAATTAGTAAAACTGAGCCAGAATTTGCTTCTAAGCTACAAAATAAAGCACGTTTACAAGCTTATACTTAAAACGTCAGAAAATCTATGAGCCAAAATTTGAATTACAAAAATCGCATAATATTAATTCTGATTCAAAATGAAGCTCGTTTACAAGCTTCAAAATCTATGAGCCAGAATTTACTTATAAGTAACAAAAAACTTGGTAAAGCCAAAATGCTCGAAGCAGATATTGTCCACACTTGGTAAAGCCAAAGCACGTTAACTTTAAAATACAAAAGTTAGAAGCAAAATATAAGCACGAAATAGTTGATTATCAGCCACGATCAACACGCCTAATCGGGATTTTTTCACGTGGAGAAGATATTGTCGGCATTTCAAAGGCATCATCATTTCCAGGTCCGTCGCCATTTAAAGGGTTCTTACATGTGCTTCTATGGTGTCCCCACGAGTTGCATCGTCCACACTTATGACTCATTTTTGTCTTCTTTGTAGTTTTCAATAAGTTTTTCATTCTTCTCTTCTTTGGTCTTCCACGAGGCCTACTTGATATTGGAGGTCCAACCTCCTCTCCATCACTAAGTATCGACCATTGATCCTTCCCTCGTAGTGTTCCTATCGCTTTTTCATAAGTTATTCTATATCTACTTGATAAAATGGAGTTAGAAAGTGAAAGTAGCAATGATAAATAAAGTTGGAAAGTGGAAACAGTAATAATTAAATTGTTTAAATGAAAACATCATTAATAAATTGCAAACCTAGATGTGTAGTAGTGATCGTCCACATAGCTATGCCATAAATTGTACTGTTTTGATCCAATGAATGATGCACCATGCACCCATGGAAATCCACTCACTTGCCAAAATTCACAACTACAAATATGGTTCTCAATATCAACCTCATGTCTTTCGTATCTTCCTTCAACCTCAGCCTTGGTTGGAGTTGATTGGCGAATAATAAAGTGATCTTTCATTGTTGTGACATCTCGTAGGTATTCCTCAACGCAAGGAACAAGTGGCCCTTTCCAAGAACTACAATTTAACTTCCTTTGGGAACGTTGCTCCATCATCATTCCTCTAACCATGTCGATTAGATCCACAACTGGCTTACTCCTAGCCTCTTCAACCCATGAATTGAAAGATTCTGACATATTATTTGTGCTGTAATGATTTTTAATATGGTGTGAAAAAGTGGATTTAGACCATTTACATGTCAAGCCAACCAGGTATGAATATACTCTAGGACTTAGGTTTCTGATGTCTTCAAAAGATGCATTGAAAATGTGCTCACTAAAACTATTTGTGGTTGTCCAAACCAACTTCTGCAATTTTTTCCCATCTTCACAGCGGAAGAATTTCTTAATGTTCTTCCATAGGTGTCTCATGCACACCCTATGTTCGGCTTTTGGAAAAACAACCCTTATAGCTTCACCAAGCCCTTTTTCCATATCAGATATGAAGGCCAAATGTTCTATTTCAGAACTAAATGCTTCTGACAAATTTTTTAGAAACCACTCCCAACACTTCTTCGATTCATATTCAGCAACAGCAATTGCAATTGTGAAGAGGCCATTATTCCCATCAAGACAATTCGCAGATAGTAGAACACCTAAATATTTTGATTTCAAATGGCAGGCATCAACACCAATTAAATATCTACAACCAGAGAGGAAACCATCAATGCAAACTTTAAAACTAACAAAGAATCTCTTGAAGGATTTGTTGTTGTTGTCACATTGATATGTAATATGAGAACCTGGATTTCTTTTGAGTAATTTAGACCTCAACATTGGAACCCACTTATAGTTCTCATCTATTGATCCAAACATTTGATCTCTTGCTAGTGCCCTTGACTGCCATATTTTCATGTAAGGTAAACTCAAACCATAAGTAGTCTCCAAGGTATTACTAATGTCCTTTGGTGTGATATCAGGATTTCTTTTGACAATGTCTTGGATTTCTTGTGCAACCCAACTTGTAGTTGCTTGCTTGTTCCCAGCTCTATTCACCCCTGGGCATAAATGTATAGGATGCAATTTTTTCACTTCAAAAGAATGACTATCAGAACATAACGAAGCTCTTATCCTCCAAGGACAACCACGATATGAGCATGTACCAATAACTCTTGTTTTGTCACTAGCCTTAATCTTGATATCAAAGTTATGTATTATTACATTGGAACGAATGACTTGTTTGAAACTGCATGAATCCTCAAAACGCGATCCCACAACTAGGGAATTATCCTCTAAATCAGGACTTTTAATAACACCATCAGAAATTCCACCAACTAAATCATCATGGTTTGTCATTTTGTTGCCACTAAAATCATGCATCTCAATATGGTCACTATCACAAGTCATACCCATATTTTCTTCAAGCTCTTTCACAACGACAACAACCTCCATTCTATGGGAACCAGAAGAGTAGGAAAGCATGTCCATTACATCAATATCACTTATAATGGGCATGTAATTTTTAGGCGATGTACCATTAATGTGATAGTGTAGGTCATAAGCATGACCCTTTAGCCACGGGCATAGAGCTTCGGTTCGTTCTTTCAGTAAGCACAAATTGACATCACTTATCCGAAGCTTTAAAGTTCTCTGGTTACCACAAACATATTTTAGCCTGTTCCGTCCCTTGACTGCACTCCAATATCCTCCATATTTGAACACAATATAACACAAACTATTGAAATCCATATCTAGCACAAAAGTAAAATGAGAAAAATTATAAGTTATGCTAAAATACTTATTAATCAGAAAATTTCAACAATTTTCCTATTATCACTTATTTAAACAAGCTTCAGTTCGTTCTTCCAGCAATACAAAAAACTTATCTATTTTTATTTGAAAGATTTTTCTTCACAAATATCACTAGCTGGATGGAATTTTGTTGAAAAACACAGGACGATGGCGGGCAGTGTATTACCGAAAATGTTCAAAACACAGAATCAGGGATGGCGTGCAGTGTATTACCAAGAAATGCAGGGTATTGCCGAGAAAGCAGACACCAGGACGATGGCGTGAGGTGTCTCGACGGGAACAGAAAGGGACGATGGCGTGAGGTATCTCGACGGGAATAAATGATATGCTTTGTTCTGGGATAAAATGAGCAAACGCGACACACCGGTAAATAACATAAATTTTCTTAGAGAGAAATTATAACAACCTCCTTGCAATTTTCCAAAAAAAAAAAAAAATTACATGCTTACCATTTTATATCTATAATTTTATATATCTAAAATTTCATTTATTAATATTACACTTATACCACACGATACCCTATTACACATCCTTGCGGCCATTATCCGAAAGAACTAAACCAAAGACTGAGCTCAAGCTACCGGCGCAGGGACACCGGAAATGGCGGCCCTCTCGGCGATGATGCTTCCGCTTGCTTCCTCTCTATCCACCTTCATCCGAGGCGAGAACACTTCTTCGTCTCTCCCGACCTCTCTCCCCCTCTCCCTCTCTAACTATTCTTCAACTTCTCCAAAGGTTAACCCCATTTCCCCTCCGAAACGTTCAATCGCATCTTCCTTAATCTTCTTAATCTCTTCAACCTCCTCCTTTTTCTTTGATTCAGCTCAGAGGGATCAGAATCCAATGCGTTCGAGTCGGAGGTGTGGAAATACCTAACAACAAACGCGTAGAGTTCTCGCTGCAGCACATCCACGGCGTCGGCCGAAGCCGTTCTCGTCAGATCCTCTGCGACCTCGGAATGGAGAATAAAATCACTAAAGATCTCTCTGAAGATGAGCTCATCCAACTCCGTGATGAAGTTTCCAAGTATATGATCGAGGGAGACCTCGTAAGCTTTCATCTTTTTCATTTTTGTTTCAATTGCTTTGTTTGGACTACTTTTTTTCGTCATTTTAAGATATTTGGCGACTAAATTGGGGAGCAGAAACGTTTCAATCGGCTGGCGATTGAGAGGTTGAAGGAGATCCGATGCTACAGGGGGATTAGGCACCAGATGGGGCTTCCGTGCAGGGGCCAGAGGACGAAGAACAATTGCAGAACGCTCAAGGGTAAGAAGGTAGCGGTAGCCGGAAAAAAGAAGACTAAGTGATGGTATCTTCTTCTACTATTCTGAGTGGATGGTGTATGTCTCTTGTTATTATTTAGTCCAATTCTTCTTCTACCTGTGGAAAGGCTACCAAAAATTCTTTATGAGACCTCTCCAATGGAATTATCTTGATTTCTAGATTCATTGCCTTTTTTTAATTATTTTAAATGACAGTTTTGCGCTCTATATTTCTTGATGACCTTCTTAATTTCAATAACACTCCTTGATATTGCTTGGATTTTCAAATGTACTATGAGCTACAAAACAGGATTGTTCTTAGGGCTGCCTGAAGTTAGAATACTTATTATAAAAATGGTGAAATGTGCTAGATTCTTTTAGATGTTAGAAATCAAGTAATATTAGTTTGAACTTTGCACAACCCTTCAAAACCCCTCGAAGGTACTGATTGAGATTTCACACACAAAAGTAAATGAGAATAAAGTAATTTTTCTATAACAGTTTTTTTTTTTCCGAACAACTAATTGAGCCGTTATAAACATTTAACATTGAACATATAGAAAATATTCCTTTTTAGGCATGGTCTTTTTGAAAGCCTTTCATGATAATTTTTTTTAGGAACGGAAGTATCTACCCGCTGCCACCCCTAAAGGACGTGCATGGCGGCGTAACTAATCCCTCGGTGGGCCTACCAGCAACCAACCCCATAGGTGCAGGGCCACATAGTTATTATCTCCCAATTTAAGGAGTCGCGCCACATGAGAGAGTAATCGATTATGGGTTGGGGGTTCCCAACCACGCTCGCCCACCAACTCAGTTAAGCCCGGTTGGGTTTTCATGAGAAATTAAGCATGACTTATTTCATGACAGCATCCCCCCTCCCCTCTTATTTTAGTTTTTATTTCTTGCTTGATCTCCTTTTATGACTTAAGATTAGCTGAACAGCTTGCTCATATACTTCAAAAGGTGCAGTGTAGATTACTAGTTGAACTAGAAAATACCATGCACAGTGTCAAATAAAGCCAAAAGATCAGAAATTTGTTCATGCATAAAGAATAAGAGCGTGTTATACTGGCATGTGGTGGATTAGCTTGTCATATGAAACATATAACTTTTATTACTTGCCATAGTGCTACGGCACATCAACCACCACCAAGCCGATCGAGCAGGCATTACTTGCTATAGTGGCATAAGGAGCTCTCTTAAACTTCAGCATTATTGTATTATTACATGCTAATTGAGTTTAATAAGTCTTAATTTATCTAGCAGGTTTTTGGTTCAAGTTAGTCATATTAGCTGATTAAGATGTGCTAGGGTAGTATAAATAATAATGTAATAGTCTTCGGAGAGTAATAAGAAAATAATTCTTCCCTATTGTTACTCTTCTTTCCCTTATCTGTTTTCTTCCCTCTTTTTTAGTAGCTATTATTCTGTGCGGACACTGGACGGTTCTCTCATCCGGTTAAGCATTCGGTACCGAGCGGTACTGAGTTCGGGTACCGAGCTCGGTATCGAGCGCGGTACATTTTTTGGGGTGACGTGGCGCTTTTTTATTGGTCTCCGGACGCCCTCCGAACTCTGACCAGAATAGTAAATCGTGAGGTCGTAATAGGGGGAGAAACCTTTTAATTGGTGCTCTCCGTTGAGCCTCCTTGCTTTGCCATGGCCGAAAACACCCGCTCAACCACAAAAACCCTAGCCAACTGCCTTTCTCGTCTCACTCATCACGATGAATAATTTCAGTCTATTGACAAGAAATCAAAATCAAAGCTAGCAATATTGGATTCCAAACACCACCAGGTAATCTATGAAACCATTGCGATTTCATTTGGTAATTCTTCGATTGCATCTTGGTTGCCTTCTTGCATCTTAAGTCTAATCCATTTCATCATGTTAAACTGGAATGCCAAAATTTTAAACCTAGAATCTTGAAAATTGGATCCTTATGGTCGATCAATTTTATGGGTTCCATGAACTCTCTAATTCAGATAAACTATGTCTTGTCTCTTCCATTCACCTGGAGCTTTAATCAACAATATTTCTACATGGAAGTAATTTTTTCAACTTTTCCATGCACGTTTTGCTCTATTGCACAGTACTAAGACCTTAAGGGTGAATTAATGAAGTTTACAAAATCATATTCAATTCAAGACTATCCACAATGTTTTGAGCAACTAATGAATATTTTGCCGGAAGTTGATACAGCTCTCTTGCAAAGCTATTTTGAATCGGACATTAAAATCAAATTCACCACCATCATCTACCTTCTTCCATAGCACAATCAATGGATTAGCAAAGGTCGCAGTCGGCGATGTTTAGAAGGGCTCGGTGATGCTTTAACCAATTACAAAACAAAACACTTACTATGAAATTTGTTTGGAATGAGAATCAATTTTAATTGTGTGGCTAAGCTAACCCAACAGCTAAATGTATTCAATTGCACAACCAAAAAAATTGCAGCTTGTAATAGCATTAAGCATTCACTATGGATGAACTCCTTGACAAACTCAATGGCTCAAACTTTTTTTTTTGTTAAATTATAGATGTTGGGCTTAAGAAGATTTGGTAAATTATACTAGTAGAACTAGATTATAGCATCAATATGGTAGTAGCATTAGTGCAAGTTTAAATTCTTTTGTTTATAAAGATTGGTTAGGTTGAACTTACGCAGTGGGATAAAGATTTGATGTTGTTATTATTATAAAAATATTGATTAGGAGAGCATTGCAACATGAAAGGAACATTAATTCATTAAATGCTCTAGAAGATCTTACTTTTTTTTTGTGTAATTAATTGATTGAATGTGAGTTTATTAAGTTTGGTTAATTTTATAATTGAAAACAATATTGGAGAAAAGCATTGATCTATAGTTTAAGGGGTGAAATAATTATTTCTCCCTAGATCCCTAAAAGTTTATGTTGTTATCTCCAAGTTGCCGCTTCCTTGTACGTAGTAAGAACAATCTCACCCTTAGAAAGATATCTTTTATTCAAGTACTCTAAATCTGCTGGACACAACCTATCGGTTTTGTACTTCTATAGGGATTGATTCTTTTTTTGGAGAAGCTAATTTTTTTGTGAGCTTTGCCAGAACATTCATCATAGAATTACTTTCATGCAGTATCCTGTATAAACTGACGATGGGAATTTGCTCGAGAGCTTGATCGTGTACTAATAATATGGCAGTAGTTTAGGCTTCAAGATTGTAAATTCTGACCACTTGATTAACAATAATTTGCGAATCTCTAATTCATTTGTGAGCTTTGATAGGGCATCCACGATAGAATTCCTTTAATGGGATATCCCGTGTATCATGGGATTCTGCTCGAGAAGCTTGCAAATTGCAAATTCTGACAATCTAATTAACAATAAGTTGTGAATCTATAATACTCCTCAGGTTGGCCATTAATTTATCTGCCAGATGCTTGCAAAAGTAATAATGCAACAAGTTAATGTAATAGATGTTCATAAAAATTATCTTCAGCTAAAAAAATTCAATTATGCAATGACTTATCTTAGTTTTCACTGGATAATCATTTAAGCCGTCATTAGGGGTGTCAATTCGGGTCCATGGGTCGGGTTCGGGTTGAACCCGAGTTGATCCGGCTCTAAACAGGTCAACCTAAGCCCGACCCATTTTTGCAAATGGGCGGCTATTTTAATCCGGATGTGACCCGCACGGGTTGTCGTGTTGACATGACCCGACCCGGATTTAGGAGATTTGGCTGAAAAAGAGTGAGCTGAGCTCTCGTCGCCAGTTCCTGGAGTTCTGATTCAAAGCCGACGACAAATTAGCGGCAGCACAACGACAGCAGTAGTGGCAATACATGAAGTGACACGACATGCCGGGCACTGGATGCTGGTAGTGCGGGTAGAGACGCGGGCGGGTCATTTTCGGGTTTATGAGAACCCGATCCCGACCCGATTTTTGAAACGGGTCGGTTTTTTGAACCCGAACCCGATCACCCATTTCACAAACGATCATTACATTTATTTTTGGTGTATTTCTAAAGCATCCGAATAAAACAATAATATTTGCTTATTGAGATCCTGAACGTTGTTTCATTTTCCCCTAACAAGCTTTTAACACAGACTTCTCTTTCATTTGCCGCCGACCTAATTGATGCCACGTCCAACGAGCTTCTGTCATGGACTCCTCTTCTCCTTCACACATCGCCAATCCTATTAATGCATGCCCCGAACAAGCTCAACATCTCTTCTTCTCGTTAATCTGTTATAGTTCCATCAATACATTCCCCCAAATGAGTTCTTGTTCCAATCCTCTCAATGGCAACTTCAACCCCAGCTATTCCCACCTCCTCCCCCACCACGACCCTTTTTATTCCCCCTTAGCTCAAAATTTTAATGGCTAATGTCAAATCTTATGCTAAATGTACAGCTCATAGCTACCAACTATCCTATTTGTCATTCTCAGGTTTTGAAACTCTTCGGTGCCAACTGCTACACCGGATACCTAGATGGTTCTCTTCGTCAACCCCAAAACATTGTACAGATGATTCATTTACAGTCAATCCAGTCTATCTCTCTTGGCATCTAATTGATCAAAATCTGGCTGCTGCTCTCTTCTCCTCCATCTCACAGTCTCTAATACCTTATGTCCTCAACCTTCAAACCTGTAATGAGATTTGGTCTACCTTGGAACGCTGTCTACAGGCGACGAACCATTCTCGTATCCTTCAGCTAAAAAACGAGCTACATCAACTTAAAATGCAGGACAAACTAATGTTCCAATATCTCTCAGACATCAAACAGAGAGTAGATGCCATCACTGCAGCTGCCTCGCACATTAAATATCAAATACACTAGATTTAATTTGCACTGCATTTAAGATGCTATTGAGTTCTAAAATACTGGCAACTAAATATCCCCTTAAACGTCTCGGTTGTTTCATGCATTATATATTATTGTCCAATTTCTTTGTCGCATAAATTGCTGGCATCTAGAGGCTTTTCTCTTCTTTTCTTCTTTATTTTCATGCTTTGTTAGCCAATTTCCTAGAAAAGGCTCAACTTATCTCTAAAATCCAAAATTCACGTAAACAAGTGCAGGAATCCATCTTAACGCTTCTCCCATTCCACACAATCTATATGAACATGTTGAATATAAACAAAGGATCTTACTTCTAAAGTAGTTCCAAATGATGCCTAGGCTTCATTTAGGATGGTTTTCTTACTGCTTATTGAAGCAGCTCTTTAGTATAAAAATTTTATTTTTTATATTAGAGAGCTACTTCAAAAAATAGCAAGAAAGCCGTCCAAAACAAAGCCTAAATCTCTAATCATAAGAGTTTTACAATCGCAAACTTCTTTCAATAATTAATATAGTCCCTCACTTTGACGTGTGCTTCATTTGGGACAATTTTTTTTTACTATTCTTTAATATAATAATTTTTTAAAAATAGAAATAAAATAGTTGTTAAAAACTGTCCCAAACGAAGCCATAGTAAGGCAGTGTAAGTTGTTTGTGTTCGAGATAAAACAAAGCAATTTTGTTAGTGTTTGTTATTATTTATTTTGAAAGGAAAAGAAATTGTGGTAGAATTTTAAATTATATAATCATTAATTTTAGTTTAATATGAGTGTAATATAATTTTTAATTAATTAATTTATTATTACACTTTAAATTCTTATAATCATTTTAATTGTCAAAAGTTTTTGGAAAAACTCTTTTTTGGGGAAGATGAGAATAAAGCCTAATATAATTGCTATAAAATAATTACAAGTCAGCCACAGCTTAATTACAACTCACAAAAAACCAAAAGACCAAAAGAAGTTATAAGAGTTGCAATTTAAAAATCTTGACATGTCTCAGATGAAAAAACAAGGAAAAAACAGGAAGAAGGGGAGAACTAAACTCGGGTTTTGTTTGGAACTGTCTTTTTTTTTTTTAATTTTTTAGTACAAAAATTCTTGAGAGCAAAGAATAATTATCATGGCATCACGATCACAAATGACAGGAACAAAAAGTCTCCCAGTTGCCTAGGAAGAATGAAGACCATCCATGGGGACAACAAAAACTTGTCAACATGGCTATACATCCTCGTCTAGAGAAGAATCGGTGCCATCAACAACAGAGTTTTTCTCTGATCGACTCTTAGGCTTCGTTTGAGACAGTTTTCTTACTGTATTCCAATGCAGCTTTTTAGTACAAAAATTTATTATTAGACTTCATTTGGGACGACTTTATTACTGTTTTTAAAGCATTTTTCTAATAATTTTTTTGTAATAAAAAACCAGAAGTAGAGCCCAAATCATCGATAAAATAAAAAACTTGCTTGATCTTAGGCCTTAACAGAAAAGAAGATAATCTATAAATAATCTTGCAGAGAACCCTAAAAGAGGATATCGCTTTCAATAAGTAGATGAATTGCATTTTAGGTAAAGCAGTTACATAGGGCACACAAAAGAGAGAGAAAATGTTGCGAGCAATGAAGATCATTACTTTTTAAAAGCCACCAGCTAAGGCCATCCATGAATATGATGAGAATCTAGTAGCATATTGCTTGATCTTTCTAATAGAATGGGAACGAAGAGGTGAAGAGGATGAACGGAGCATATAGGAAAAATGTAAATTGTATTACTTGATGTGATAAAGTTATAAGGTGAAGTATATATAGACTAAAAGACAAAATAAGTAACAGGTAATTACAAAGAAGCCTAAGATACATTATATGGATTTAACCGTTACACCTATTATCCCCCCTCAAACTGATCCGTCTGTAAAGGAAGGATGAGTTTGTCGCGTAGGAGTTGAAATCTGATGATAGCAAGAGGCTTAGTGAAGATGTCGGCGAGCTGATCAGCAAAACATATGTGACTGATGATAATAGCTCTGTTGTCGATGTGTTGGGGAAGAAAGTGATAATCCAGTTCAATATGTTTGGTGCGAGCGTGAAAAATAGGATTTCTTGCCAGAGCAATTAATCGCCGAGGTATTATCGCAGTAAATGGTGGTAGGAGACGACTGTGGTAGCTGAAGTTCTTGAACGAGGCGTCGCAGCCACAGGACGTCGGAGACAGCAGCAGAAAGAGAGCGATACTCGGCCTCAGTAGATGATTTTGCGACTGTGGTCTGCTTCTTAACAGACCAAGAGATAAGAGTATTGCCGAGATATGTACAAAAGCCAGATACCGACTTACGATCGGAGCTATCGGAAGCCCAATCAGCTTCCTCATACGTACGGAGTGAGAGATTGCCTGGGGAGATTGGTAGACCGTAGTCGAGTGAGCCTTTGATGTACCGGAGCAGGCGCTTGAGAAGCTGGAAATGGTAGTTTGTCGGAGCATGCATGTATTGACAGATTTGATTAGCTGCAAAAGCAATATCAGGGCGCGTGATTGATAAATACTGTAGAGCTCCGGCAATTTTGCGGTAGAGATGAGGATAAGCAAAGAGTTCGCTGTCAGGTATCTGGGTAGATTGAGTCGGCGTCATTGGGGTTGGAACAGGACTGCAGTCGTGAAGACCGGCATCTTGAAGTATCTTAATAGCATAGTGTCGTTGATTGAGAATTTATCCAGAGGAAGTTTTAAGAATTTGAATTCCAAGGAATAGTGATACGCTGCCAAGTTGCTTAAGAGCGAAATGCGATCGGAGATAGGTGATAAGTGACTGAATCATGGAATGATCATTACCTGTTAAAAGAATGTCATCAATGTAAATTAGAAAGTATAATTGAACGTTATGTTGTTGAAATATAAGTAAAGAGGGGTCGGAACGACTAAACCTGAACCCGAATTGAAGAAGAAGAGATGTGAGTTTGTGAAACCGCAATCTCGGTGCTTGCTTAAGACCGTATAAGGATTTGTGTAGCTTACATACATATTGCGGATATTTGGGATCGATGAAGCCAGCTGGTTGTCGCATGTATACCGTGTCTGTGAGATCGCCATGGAGAACGGCGTTTGAGATGTCGAGTTGAAGAATAGACCAGTGCCGATGAATAGCCAGAGTAAGAAGAACCCGAATAGTTGGCATTTTCGCAACAGGGCTGAAAGTTTCAGTGTAATTGATGCTGAGCGTTTGATTGAAGCCTTGCGCAACCAGTCGAGCTTTGTAACGCTCGATAGATCCATTTGGTAGAGTCTTAGTTTTAAACGTCCACCGACAGCCAAGAATAGAAGTGTTGTCAGGTGGTGGAACTAATGACCATGTGCCTTGACGCATGAGAGCTGCGAATTCTTCTTCCATAGCTGACATCCAATGCGGGATTTTGGAGGCTTGAGCAAATGTAGTGGGAGTGATCAGATTTGACTGAATAGCCGAAAGATCATAAATCTGTTTAGGTTTATGTATGCCAGATTTTTCCCTTGTCTGCATATGATGTGTTGGACGGGTAGTAGGAGAGGGCAGAGGTGGTCCAGGCAAAGTTGGAGAGATCGGAGTAGGCTCGGCTGAAGGTGACATGGTATTGTTAGGAGTGTGTTGAGTTAACCGAGAGTTGTATTGAGACATAGTGTGCGTAAGTAGTGTGGGCGTGAGCAGAAGTGGTGAGACAAATTGAGCGTAAGTATCATGCGATATGGAAAAGTTGTCCGCCGATTGTTGATATGGAAAAATATGTTCCTGAAAAGTAACATGACGAGAGATTAGCATTTTATTAGTGCTAGTATTAAAACACTTGTACCCTTTTTGATGAGATGAGTAGCCGAGGAAAACACAAGGTTGAGAGCGGGGCGAGAGCTTGTCGGAGACATACGGACGAAGCCACGGGTAACAGAGGCAACCAAAGGTTCGTAGGTGATCATACGTCGGATTGGTACCGTAGACAAGTTTGTAGGGAATCTGATTGGAAATGGCTTTGGATGGTAGTCTATTTATTAGGTAAGTTGCTGTTGTGACAGCTTCAGTCCACAGTTGTTTAGGTAGAGAAGCTTCGTGTAAAAGGGCACGGGTAAGATCTAGTAAATGACGATGCTTTCGTTCGGCGAGCCCGTTTTGCTCGGGTGTATGAGGACAGATAGTTTGATGAAGAATGCCACATTCTGCGAGAAACGATTTAAACTGATTGCTATTGAACTCACCGCCGCCGTCAGAGCGGAAAATTTTTTGGTGTGGCGTTGAAGACATTGTTAAGAATAGAGCAAAAATGACTAAACTTTGAAAAATTTTCATTCTTAGAACGCATAAGGTAAAGCCAAGTAAATTTGGAGAAATCGTCAACAAAAATAACGTAGTAGTAAAAACCGTTTAAAGATTGTGTAGGAGCCGGGCCCCAAACATCAGAGTGAATTATTTGAAAAACATGCTTAGATTCAGTCAAGCTTTTATTAAATGGAAGCTTATGGCATTTTGCCATACTACAAGAATTACAATGAAAGAGATTAAAATCAAAATCAGATGCAGGTAATAAGTGTCTGAGGCTGGAGAGAGCGCCGATGTGCGGGTGACCAAGTCGAGCGTGCCAGAGACGGGTGGATTGCTGTCGGGCAAGCAGAGCAGCTGGAGACGCCGGGATGATGTTCTGCACGCTATAGAGTCCATTACGCATTTGACCATGAAGAAGAGGGCGGTGATCCTGTCCATCCTTAATGACGAAGCCGTTAGCGTCAAAGGAAATCGAGACATTATTGTCTCGGGTTAAAGCAGAAATCGAAAGGAGATTGTGAGTAAGTAACGGAACATGTAATAATTTTCATAAATAGAGCTTACGAGCCGAATCCGGTAGAGGAAGAATTCCTTGTCCGGCATGCTGGATGGGAAGAGAAGCACCATTAGCTGTGGAGATAGTATCTGGACCGTGATAGATTGAGTTGTTTTGAAGGTTGTTGAGGTCAGAAGTCAGATGGCTTGTTGCACCGGAATCAAGAATCCAATCCTTGGTGGAAGTCGGAGTTTGATGAGAAAGATGAGCACGCGAATTAGTTGATGTAGGCTCGTATTTAGGATTATTCCTGTGCCAACAATTCAGGGCAATGTGACCTTGTTTGCCGCAAATTTGACACGTTGGGCGATCGGATCTGGTGGAAGATTGGTTCGAATGGGAGTAAGACAGATCCGGCAAGTTGGAGTTGTCGGATTTCCTGTTCTTGAAATTTCGGTTTGAGCCATTTCCTTTGTTGGAGACGGACCGATTAGCATAGAAAGCCGGATTATCTTGATTTGCTGCAACGTCTTTCTGATGCTCCCTCTGTTGAGCGATTTCCTCACTGCATAGCAAGGAATACAAAGTGTCGAGATCGATGGGATGCAGAGACGTTCGGATAGAAGTCTTGAAAGAATTGTAGCTGGAGGGAAGTCCATTCAAAATGTAGATTAGGATATCCTCAGTGTCGATCTGAGAACCCGAAACGGCGATGTTATCCACCAGATTCTTGATCTGCATTAGATATTGCTGCATTGAAGAGTTGTTCATCTTGATATTGTGAAGCTCGTTCTTGAGCTGGATGACACGAGAGCGAATATTCGGTTGCATATGCCGTTCCAAGATCTGCCATATGTCGTGAGCGTTGGAGGCGGTCAGAACGTAGGGAAGAATGGCAGGGGATATAGTGGAGAAAAGAGCCGAAATAAGGTTCTTGTCAATTAGGTTCCATTTGAAGAAATCATCGCTCGAAGTGTCGGAGGGGCAAGAAGTCTCTCCGGTGAGAAAACCGGCAAACCCATTAGCGGAGAGGTGCTAAAGAATTTGAATGCGCCAAACGTGATAGTTGTCTGCCGACAAGGAGTTGGGAACAAGAGTTTTAAGATTTGAGATTAAGAATTTGAGAGGAGGGATCGCTGTGTAGACGGAGGTGTCGCCGAAGGTGGAGCGAGGGGCGGAGGTGGGAGAAACGACGGATTCTTGATCAGCCATCGAGCAGGAATTGCTCTAATACCATAATAGAATGGGAACGAAGAGGTGAAGAGGATGAACGGAGCAGATAGGAAAAATGTAAATTGTATTACTTGATGTGATAAAGTTACAAGGTGAAGTATATATAGACTAAAAGACAAAATAAGTAACAGGTAATTACAAAGAAGCCTAAGATACATTATATGGATTTAACCCTATTACTTTCTAGCCCCAACATAGAGAGACTTGTAAAATTTAGGTTTTTTTTAGCTGGCAAGATGGGTGGACGATCGGCATACAGACAATGATGAGCAAGTCCAGTCTCTCCGAGCCTTGGAGGGCCTACGTGGCAACCTGGCTCGCTTTTGTGGAATTTCGTTGGCAGGTTGGATGTGCTGCGACGGCCAGATTAACTGATTCAGTTTTTGGTTTATTGGGCAACCAGTGCAACCTCCTGGAATTCATCTTACTCAATACAGATTACATTTGATGAATGAGACTGTGCCTACATTATGAGTCTTATGTTATGCCTATTGTCCATTTTTGGGTTCTTGCTACAATTTTTGTGTATTTTGTTCAGTTTTGTTGTTTTGTTTTCTTTTCATAGGTTACTTGTAATTTGGTTTTATGCTTCTTAATATATGGGCTTTAAGCCCCGGGTTTACCAAAAAAAAAAAAGGTTTGATTTGGGACGGTTTTTTTTTTTTTTTTGCTTCTTAAAGCATCTTCATATATAGTACAAAATTCTATAAAACTGCTTCTCAATAAAAAAGTCATCCCAAATGAAGCCTCAGTTACAGCGTAGGAAGTAGGCCTCCGATACATATTTGATTTTCCACCAATCAAATAGTAGACAATCAGAGGAGAGATATTTTCATATTAAAGAACAATATATGCAATGACTAAGTCTTTACATGTTGGTATAACCATCCCACCAACACTATGATGTTTACAAGGGGTTTTCCAGGATATCAAACATAGCTTTTTTGCATTGATTTCACCATAATATCAGATTCTTCCACAAATTTTATTGAGGAATTTAATAAAGCTTTAGGTATGACTGACTCTTATCTATAAGCAATTGAGTTTTAGATGATGAACTTGAGATATTATGCTTTACTGGCAAAAGAGGACTTGGCTTTCCAACCATCTAGCAGAGATACAACTTTATCTAATAAAAATTGAAAATAAGAAATGTAATATACTCTAGTAGCAATAGGGGTGCCTAGGTAAGTAAATATATTGGTGATGTTGGAAATATTAAACAAGTCAAGCAAGGGGTTCTGATCGTTAGAGGTGTCAAAACTTGAACCAACTCGAACTCGACACAAAAAATTTGAGGTTTTGGTCAACCCGTTTACCATATAGGTCGGGTTCAGGTTCAAGTTTCTAACCCGTTTTTAAATTCTGGTCTTGTTCGGGTTGACCTGACAACCCAAAATCAACTCAGATTTGACATGTGGGCCACATATCTGTGCTAGTGAGTTGGTCCCGAGTCGGGTTCTGGTCTGCCGCTCAGCTTCTAGGGCTGCATTCTGCACCAGTCCTACATTCTGTGTCTCGTGTCACGTTCGGTGTTCCGCATCGTCTCGTCCACGTATGGTGCCTCACATTTGATGTCCCGCACTCGTGTCCGGACCATCCGGTTTCGGCCTGGGTT